ATGGCCGGCAGGAGGAAGGATTGGGCCTAATCTTTCTCTAACCTAACCTCACTCTCGTGTTTGACGCGAAAAGCGTTGTTTGACGCCGATATTCTACGATGCCGTAATATCAGTCCGGTCATGACGAAGCGTTGCTCTACCGCCTACTATTTATTTAGTAGGTACATGAAACATCATAAAGTGCGATTACATTTCTATACAAGATTGCTTACATTTTATATGATGAGTTTTATACGTACTTCTTAAAGGTAACTTAATAATATAAAGAGGTAAAATTTGTATATGGGTATAAGAATAAGAATATGCAGTAAATATAACTCCATATGCTTTCAAACTGATATATGTCACACAAGTTTTAATGTCTTTAAGGATTTTCTGTGTCTGTGTTTACTGTCTGTTACTGTACCTATTGAATAAAAATAAATAAATAAAAAAATAAATAAATACTGATATGTTTCCAAAATTCTTTCACTGATAAATAGCAATATTTCTGAGTGCTTTAGGCATGGCGAGCTGGCGTTTTAAACGCTGCTGTTTTTAGACTCCCATGATTCAATACTTTTATGCGCGTGTGGAGCCGTGGGCAGAAGCTAGTTTCCTATATGTACTAAGGGTGACAAAAATGCATGGAGAGCTTAAGGTCGACTATTGACTGACAGGTTTTGCATAACGCTACCATTGATAACTAGATGGCGCTGCTTATAAATGAAAATAACCCTGCAAAGCTTGAATACTTTACACTGCAGAGGCACACAATAAGGTTTTTAATGGTTAAAATAATAATTAAGAAACAATAATATATTTATATTCAAATACACATAAATTATGTTAATTTTCACATTTCCAAGGACTTAATATAGCGCCATCTAAGTCAAGTCAAGCAAACCAATTAAAAGATGGCGTCAATAATTAATAATAGACAATAATAAAAGTTATAAACTAACCCACATTTTCAATATCATTAGAAATGCGATCGGTAGCTCGGATATATAAGAATGATAGTATAATGAAGTCGAAGGGCACCGGTTCAATTCCGGGTTATCATTTTTCATTCGTAAAACATTCATAAAACATTCAGGTTTTTTAACAATGGTTTTTTTTATATAAAATCAATAATAATAATATATAAATAAAATATTTGACGTTTAATATTTATAAAAGATAACAAAAATAAATAAATATATTATTTTAGAACAAAATTATATTAATAAATATATATAAATAACTTTTATAATATGTGCTAACTATTAATGTAAAAGTAACATATTTTTCTTACAGATTAAGACTAATACTAAGTTTAATTCTCAAAAAGGATAACAAATAAAACTATTTTAGTGACATTATAATTTCAGACATTTATTTCTTAAAACATAATATTTATTTCTTTCTTATATAGTGTATACCTTGACCTAATAACTTTTCAGCTAACTGACACATTATTTATTACACTTTTTATAAGATTAGTAAGTATTTTAAATCAAAATTGTGTTGTGCTAGTCATTTATTAGTTAGTTTTAAACACAATGTTATAATACGATTCTATATAATATGCAACATTACTTCTGCAACTATTTTACCTCCCCATAAAATTTAATTAAAGTATTGACTAAAGTGATTCATTTTGTGCATCATGTTATGACAAAGGCTCATAGCTTAAGTATTCGTTCCAGAACAAGGAAGAAATTGAAGCTAGACCTTAAATCAATAACATTTCTAAGACCGGGATATAGCATTCACTAGATATGGGACGAATAGTTCATAGTAATTGATAAATGAATAATTTATTATTTTGCAATCAATAGCATCTGTAGATATTAATATTGCTTTTATTTTTATTTCTCATATTTAGTAAAACATTAAAATCATTACTGTATAACAGTCGCTGGTTATAAAGTAGTCAATAAATTTATCCTACTAACACTAAGTTTGAACATTTATCCATTAAAAAAATTATAGCTACCCCGGTCTTGTAATTGCTTAATCCTATAGTCAACAATGTCTTTTCTTTTAAGAACTAGTGTAGCCGCCATTTTTATCGATCCTATTTCTCCTATCTCGCTGGCCAAGGAATAATCCGTATGTCTGATTGCTGACTAAACACTTGCACAATTATGGAACATTACACATAGGACAATTGTCCTGCACGAACGTTATCACTAGCACATCTTCATGACGTCTTTCAGCACATCTATGTAGTTTTCACTGTTTGTATCACTGAAGATGACAATGCTCCAGTAATTTTCCTAATAACCTTGCCCCAAAAGTTGAAACTGGTCTGAGTCAATATCACGTCTTCTGCCAGATCCACTGCGGTGCTCCAATGAACCCTCTTCTTGAAACAGCTTTAGATATCCATAAAGTGGCAGTCTTTACCTGTAAGGGACGTGTATTATTTATTATTTTCATGAATCGATAACCATGAATAATAAAATAAATAACAAACGGTCATTTATAAGAATACTTACGTTTAAGCCAGTTTCTCTAGAAATTCCAGTATAATTTAAGCTTTGATTATGCAATGCTATTATTTGGGCCCTCGTAGCCATATTAACATTTGAACGCAAATTCATAATAAAAATAAATATTAAAAACTTGTTAAACAAATCGTGACTGAACTCACTCAAAGATAGTAAAGAATGTTATGATTGAACAAAAAGGTTTAATTTTTATACAGTTAATTTTAAATTACCCTCAACTGTTTTGAGATTTATGATCGGGTTATAGTTGCTAAACAACTTCAATATAATAAAGAGTAGGATAATTTCAATACATTTCAAGATTACGTAATGGCCTAATGGCTAGTGGCATCGGTTAATTTTATGCTACCGAGTTCGAATCCTGGTTATTGCGTGCTTTGCTTTAAAAAGGTTTGGAATATCGTAGCATTAATTTGTATAAAAATTTATTAAGTTAATAACTTTGTATCTGATAAAAACTATAAATGTATATTTTTCAATACCACTAGTATACTAGCGCCATCTATGTCGTCCATGGTATATAATTAAGGCGATGAAACGCCGTACAAACGATTTTGATTTAGAATCATCCATGCACTTATGACACTGATAGTATATGTATATCTATAGCTTACATGTCCAGTAATGAAAATAACACTTAGTAACTACAACGATTGATTAAGTATATAGGAACAGAAGGTACATAGTTGTCATTAGTATGTCATAGTACCTGCTCGTCCATTATCATTAATGGGCGACCTTCAAAATACGGTCAGAACGTCAGGTTACAATATAATCGAAATATAATTCTATTTCGATCACATTTATAGGCAGAATATTTCATAAAGCACTACTATGCGTATTTGTGAGTGACGTTTCTAAATGTCAGTGCACGCACACATTTGATTTATTGAAATGTAATCGTTGATTGGCTGATTATGTGACTTGTGAGTACCTACCTAAGTGATGTCGAAATTATAAGCGTTCTTTTTTTAAATCTTTGTAAAGACAACTAAAAAGAACGATTTTTTTTCAGATCATTTATCGTTAAAAAAAAGTCTCAATATTATGATGCATTTATTATGTTTCATGGATATATTTTTAAAATGGTTTCTTTTTTATAGTCTTCTACTTTGTTTTTCTCCTGTGTTGTATACATTTACGAATATACGTGTGATTATCACGGATAAACAATTTAATGAGTCCACGTCATGGAAACAGGTCAATCGCACTCACATAAAAATAAAAAAATAAATTTTTAATACCTATTTTTCATGCTAACCCTCCCAATTGTCCAGAGGGTGGTTTGTTTATTTTTACAATGCTAAGGGTGACTATTGTAGCAATGCCTACCTCCAGTGCTTACCGAACCGCCCTACAACTAACAACGCCACAAATATGTACAAACCATACCAAAAAGAACGAAGAAAGTCGAGTATTAATTTTGTCAATTTCAGAAGATTCCATTTTCTAGACAGGTAATAAAAGGCATTTTTAATTTTAATTTAATAAACGACCTCATTTCTACATTACCAGCCAGTATTCGATGCAATGGTCGAATCGGCACACGTTTTCGTACGAATAAAAAATCTTCTTTTAAATTTCGAACAATGTTTTTTCTGTGGACGTACATTTAGGCGCGAAAAACAACAATAAAAAAATTGTTTTACAAAAAAGACAATCTAATCTTTTGTATTGTGGTTTTGTGGTTGAAAAAATGTCGCTATTCAAACATTGATAAAATTCAAAGTGCCATGATTCGCTGATTGTATGTAAGTTAAACATAAATCGTTATAATAATTAGTTCCTATTTGCATTTGTATTGTGAAATCAATTAGTTAAAATACAGTTAAACTATTTGAATTATTTTTGTTTTCCTTTACTAATCCGAACGGCTATACGAACTTCTAATTGTAATAAAATTTTTCCGACTCACATATTTACCATATTATGATTTTATTGGTATGAGAACATTCTCTTTATAAATTCATACCTACATGACATGACAACGTGATGCGGACTCTGCTACGCGCTACAAAGGCCACCCTCGTAGTCATTTCGTAGCATTCCGTAACCGCTTCGTAGAAGATACGTGGCAAACTAAGAATTTACTTTTCAGTTCCATTTTTTTCTGTAATGTGTTTTATTTTTTGTTGAGATTTCGTAGTATTGTTTGGTAATAACTTCGCTCTCTGGATAACTGGCGAACAACACTTAATGAAATGAAATTAGTCTTGTTGAGGACGAGTGGACTGCAGTTAAAACAAAGCGCTGTTTCTTCCCTTTATTTTAGTAATGGCAGCCCAAATGACCTAATAATATACCGTATAGCCTCTATCAGTAGGTACATGAGAAGGAACGATGTGCTTTTTAGTCAGTAAGAGTCTGACACTCCCTCTCGTCTCTCATCCAGGCAGGGAGAAGTCATTTGATAATTGTTTGTTCTCCAAAAAAGCCAGGAAAAAGTATTCGTTCCTAGTGGTCCGTCACCTCATTTGCCGCCGTATCCCATAAGAAAAAATAAGAGAATTCTCCATTTTTCAGGAGTCGTGAATCCCGCCGTCGTATCAACCACCCCCCATCTGCGTTGTACAGCGTAGTTGGGGAGAAGCTGCGCGTGGGCACGCCGCGGGCGCTCCAATGCGCTCTGTTCTGCGGCGGCCCGCGTTGTAGGTACGAGGTACCGCAACCTGGGACTGCTATTCAAGGACTGTATTCTGATTGGTAAGTATTATTTTATTATAAGTTCTTTTTATGGTATAGGTCGGAAAACAAGTAAACGTATTACTTGATGGTAAGCAATCAGCGCCGCGTATAGACAGCGGCAATACCAAAGGAGTTACGAGTGCGTTGGCTGCCTTTAAGGGATAAGTGTTTTGGATATTTAAGTATTGGGAAGGGATGAGGGGAGGGATTGGGCCTCCGGTAACCTCACTCACATGGTAAAACACAACGCTGTGATGGTTTTACAGTTTACTGTTGTTCCGATGTTTTCATAGTCCTGTAGATCCTAGTACGACTAGATATAGGAGTTGCCTTGGAAGATTGTCGCTATGAGCTGGGTTCCTCCTATGTAACCCATGTTGCTATGAGCCTACATACATAAAAAGCTCGACGTAGTTTCCATACTTGACAGGCTTGTCACAAATAACAGTTTAAAGAGTACAGGGTAATCTCTATGAAACGTGTAGTTTTGACCCGGTTTAGAAAAGATTCTTCGTTAACTATTTTACTAATGTATTCTGCCTTTACCATATGCAATTTTTTCTGTGTTTACAAACACACCTCGCACCCGAAACCACAATTGTACACACGGATCCCACAAAGTACCTAATTTCCCGTGCAGAAATCGAACCCAGGACACATTGCACAGCAGCTAACTCAGCCACTGCGCCAACCGTAAGTCCGTGTGAATGTCAGAAAAGTTTTTGCTTCGCGCATTAACATTAGAAATAAGAAACTTCTTAGTACATATTTACACCCTGTAGATAGCAACACCCTTATATATAAAAAAAAGCTAAGAACTGCGGACACTTTCCCCTACTATGAACGTATTATATTAACCTTAAAATACTACTTGCGTCGCTCATTTATTTAACACTATGACGCAGAAGCACTGCTTACACAAATACAAACCATATTCTTTTGGTATAAAGAATATATTACAAAAACCGAGCGTTATGTACTTAAGTTTTTATGTATATAATGCTGTAGTATTTACAGTGACATTAGTTTTATTTGTAAGCCCACGGAATGAGTTACATTTTAGAATATACTTAGTAGGTCAAGTACCTAATTTGGATTTCGTAAAAATAATCATATTAAAATTGCGAGTGTATTAATTTTTGTAGGTACGTAAAAACTCCACGAATAAGTGTTATTAGGAAATAAAGAATCTTTACCATAGAAAATTCTTTAAACTGGTTCTTAAAGTACTTCTCTTTTTAGAGTTCCGTAATGATATAGTAAAATGGAAGTATTCCTAACTCTCCGCTGTAGGGATGGCGTTGGAATGATACGAAACGGCTGCTGAGTATATACCTATATATGTACTGTTTATTAAAATAAGATTACACACTTTAATATTGGCATACATCTATTGAGTAAAATATAATGCTTGTAGATTAATTATTTATTTATTTATTTATTTATCACCAACATACAACTATTATCACAGGAGTTACCTAATACAATAGTGTAGTAACATTATAAAGAGAAAAAAAAACAAAAACAATACAAAGAAACCTTACATACTAATTATAAAATAAAATTATATAAACTTTCCTATATTTAAACAACTTAATCTACCATGGAAGTTATTCTATATGCGGTCCGAGTGAATACATTCATTCAAGTTACAATACACCACACCACAACGTTATCCGTCCGTCCGTCCGTCTGTGTCTGTATCTCATGAACATTGGCAACCAGACATTTGACATTCGGACAGAACTGATGATGTATTTATACTCAATACTCAATACTCAATCATTTATTGCATTCCACAATGTGTTTCTTAGGTGGTAAATTATAAATTATGAGATCATTATGGACCCTGTCGGGCACAGCAAAGTATAATTAAAAGTTAAAGTTAAAGTAAAAGTAGGAGTAAAAGTAAGTAAGTATTAGTAAGTAGTTTCTGTAGTTATTACAACAACAAATACTAAGAGAACGTAAAGAAAATAAACATTTAAGGGGGCTTCCTACACAGCAAACCTGATTTTGGTTTTGGAATCTAATCTATCATCTGCGCGTGCGCAAGTCACACTTGTGGGAGTGTTATTTATATCGTTTTTGTAGAAAACATTCAAAAGGATAGGCGGCTCTTGTATTTGTTTTTCTTTCAAGAAGAAAATCCAAGTTTTTACATCTCTAAACCCCCAGTGTTCACACTCAGTAGCCTGCTTAAGGGACACCTGTTTCTGGGCAGCTTCAGAACCCGCAATGTCTAATGGCTGTAATAGTAAAGACCACTTATTATTATTCGTAAGTATGTAATCAGAAAAGAGGCGGCCTGACCAACATCATTCTACTTGTACAAGCAGTGCTTTCGGCTATGCATTGTCCATTCATGGTTTATTATTTAACTATAGATAACTTGTAAAAGAAAAGTTGTTTACACACATTGCTTGATTAATGATGACCCTTCAACAAATTATGCTACTTTTACTTTGAACATTACGGAGAACACTTATCCTTGGCTTTTAAAAATAAAATAAAGAACACAATAAAATATGTCGGTCGCGTGACTTCCGTTTCCTATATGTTTTATGTTAATATTTGTAATAATTGCAGGAATACATTATGTATGTACTACTTACTGTTCTACTCAACTTATTACATTTTACGTAAATTTCAAAGAAAAATTAAATAAAATACTCAGTTTTCAGGTAATTTTTATGGTGTAGTATCAGCTCGCCCACTGGATCTTGCCCCTTCCGATTAAAATGTTCCACTCGCCCCGTTTTTATTAATTTGGAGTTGTGGTTCGCCCCTTATGAAAACCCTTACGGGGCGAGTGAAAAATTTAACAATTAAATAATTATTTTGATGCATCGACTCGCCCCTTACGGCATTCCCTTTGAAATTTAACTAAAAAAGGTATATTCAGAAAAATGTATAGTAAACCATACTGGTAAGTAATTTAACCACTTGTGATAGTTTTATTACCTGGCTTACCTACTGTAACAAAAGGTACCTTTTATGGGACCATTATTGAAGTTTTAAGAAAAAATATTCATTTAAATATTTTATAAACTTAGAGTTCTGACAGTACTTTTAACTAACCAACAATCGGGGGCGAGTTGGAGTATCTAATAATTTAAGGGGCGAGTTGATGCACTAAGGCAATCAGGGGCAAGATCCAAGGGGCGAGCTGAGCCTACACCATTTTTATGTAACCTGCATTAAGAGTATTCATGTATTTATAATTCATGTTCTTTCCTTTTACTAAACAATCATACTTATAAGAAATACAACACAATACCTATCTTAAAAAAAAACAATTAATGTTCTGGATTAGTTACACAACTATTTTTTTAATAGTAATTGTTTAGAAAATAACTAGTAACACGTGAATTATCTAACTGAGAAAAGCTCTCCTATTTTCAAGTCACTGCGGATCCTTATTGAGGTTCTATGAACCTATGTTTATGAATATTTTAATTTGTAACGTGTAAAGTACGATTAATGATGACATAAATACGTAACATATTTAGTACCCTATACATATGACAATGAACGCCTAAATTTACAATTAGGTACATTTCGTAAAATACTGCAGTCCTAATTATATAAACATATGACATTTCGTTAGCAAAACAAAGCTAAAAACCTACTTACCTCCTAAAGATATGCAAATAAAACAATCGCGTGTGATTTCTAAAATATTTTCATTTCATTTTTTTCAATGCCATAAGTGCATTTATTTGCGGCGGAAACCTTGCAGTTGTTGTACCTAATAATATAAATATAAATTATGATTATGCGGATATTTTTCCTTCTTCGGCACCTAATTAAGTAGAACAAAATGTATACCTATATGTAAGCAATGTGTTGTTGTATGTGTATGTGTTAATTAAAATTTTAGTGTTTTTAAAGAAGCATTCTTTCAGATTGTCAATATTCGCATGTTAGTAGCGACTCGCTCACAGAGCGACATATTCGAGACGATAAAGGATTTAAAATTTAATAATGAGAAATTGATCCCATCGTTTGTTTTTTAAGAGTATGACAGCTGCATTGTTTTCTTATCCATATATATTTAACAAATAGTGTACATACATATAAACACTACGTTCTTAGCTTAACTACTGCTACTCTAGGTTAGTTTAGTAGGTTTTAATAAATTGTTTTTGTGCTAATATTACATAAAACCATCAAATGTGTGAATATTTCTTTATTTCTCTCATCATCATGAACATAATAAACTTATAATAAATAATACATAGAAACAGTTATAACCTTTTTGCACAGCCGGGTAAATCATGAAATGATTTATCTCACCGTGGGAAAACATTGGAATTCTTTATAACATAAATATCTGTTTATAAGTATACTAGCTACTCTCGCGCGGTTTCAATCGTAGCATGATGTTTTATAGCCTATATAGCACTCAGAAATATTGTAGCTATCTATCAGTGAAAGAATTTTGGCAATCCGACCAGCTGTTCCAAAGAATACCCCCTACATACAAACTTACAAACTTACAAATTTTAACTCTTTATATACATATTATATTATAGAAAATAACATAACTAATATAATTATGAACGGAATCATGTTCAATAAAAAAAGTTGCACATATTTATCTTCATGTTCGATCAGTTAATTAATACGTACGTGTTAACCACGTAATCAGTAATGTTACCGTATGTTATTACATACTTCCTAATAAGTATTAGTATTACAACTATTATAAAGCGCCTGTTAGAAGTATTATAACGGTCACTTGTAATGACTTTTATTGCTTTTAATTATGGCGTAGGCGTCGAAACCAATGGTGTGAAAATAAAAGGTAAATTTTTAGGTAGGTACATAACATTCTTGAAATTAGGTAGCTTAGTTTAACAGTAAATACACAGAAATAGAACTCTTTTGAGCGATGAAAAATTTGTAGACATCAACCTAAACAGTAGATATAAGTTCAAATTGTCCATCCGACATTTTATTTTACTTTAAATACAATGTCGTACAATGTCTGTACAGTTAATACAATCAGTACAGTTAAGATAACTCACGGTACATAAATCTGAAGTTCAATTATTCCTGCACACAACATTCAATATGAATAATATGCTTCATTCGACAGCAGGTAAAGGCTAAGTAATATGGTTAAATGACACCCTACAACTCATGACACCACATAAACAATCCAAACTAATATTAGGTATAAATTCGAAAGTTACTCTGTCTGTCTGTCTTTTCTTCACGCCCAAACTGCTGAACCGTGTTCTGTGAAGAGACATAGTATGAAACTCGAGAAATGACATAGAATAGTTTTTATACCAAAAATCTGCAGGACTTCACTATTCCACTCGAACGAAGTCGCGAAGTTAAATCCTGGATAACAGAGCTAGTAGGTATTTGCAGAAACATTATTGTTACAAAGACGACCATTGTAAAGAATAGTTAAGTGTCTAATTGTAGGAGAGCCAAACTTTCTCGAAGGGGTCGGCTGGACCGGAGTGATGCCATGGCCTCAGAGAAAAGCGGCCCCTTCCCCCATTCCTTCCTAATCCTTAAATATCCGAAACTCTTATCCCTAAAAGGCCGGCAACGCACTCGTAACTCCTTTGAAGTTGCTGCTGTCCATGGGTGGCGCCGATTGCTCGTTTGCCGACCTATACCAAAAAAATGTAAGGAAACATTATTTTAATTATACACTTATCTAAATTATCCAAAAAGACCGTACAAGATACTATTTACCACTTAGTTCAGAGCAACGATTAGTTTCAAATGTAAAATAGATAAGATCAATTCAAAACCATATTTCAAACTGTATTTGTTTGAAAGCCTATAAATATCTAAAAGCAATCTTCGAAACATCAATAACAGTGTCTGGCGGATATATTGCCTAATATAGTGACATGTTGCGACAGGGTTACCGACGACATTCTGGCGATGGCGCGACCCAGCACCGCCAACATCGCAGCCAGGAATATTATACAACAGTTCCACAGGTAAGGGCTAGAGTTTTTATTATATTAGTATCTATTATTAGCACAGATTAGTACAGCTACCAGAATAAACTAGGTTTTAAACGGTTTTATTTAGCTCGACCCGTAATTAAGCGTTTTCCCCTCAAGATTGGGCGCATCGTGTTGTATATTATTAGCCTTGCCCGTCTACGGACCTCTGGGTGGGTCAAACGTTAAAATGTCCATTACTCGTGGTAATAACATGGTAACAATATATAAAAAACAAACAAAAATTAAAACGGAACTGCTACCCAACGAAAAAAAAAGACTCGAAAAGGCAAATGAAAGTATAATACGATGCGTGCAAAAGAAAGTAAAAATGAAACCCATAGTCGAATACAGAACGAAACCCATAGTCGAATACAGAACTAAACGAAGAGAAGAAACGAACAAACAAGGTGACAGACGGAGAGAGTTGTTAGCGACAAAAACGCCTGAGCGTCATGCATGACTCTAGGCTAGCAACACAACGTGACAACAATGTGTAAAACTAAAACTAAAACTGAAGCTGAAACTGAAACTAAAAACTGAAACTGAACTAAAACGAAAACTGAAACTGAAACTAAACTAAAACTTAAACCAAAACCGGTGAGAAATCATTGAGTCCCGTTTTGTAAATTTTGTAATGTGTTTCAAGGAAATTGTTATAAGTACCACATAAGTGCATTTTATGCAAGTATAGAGGATAACGTGCGTTACCAAACTTTAGGGGATTTGGATTGGGGGAGGGTAAGTATTGGGCCTCACGCCGGTTTTCTGTGAGGCCGTGGTATCACTCCGGTCGAGCCGACCCATTCGTGCCGTAGCATGGCTCTACCACACTTTCTTATTTAACAGTAGTAGAGTATAATTTCTAGGATTTTAAATAGAGTTTTACTAGATACAAGGTTATTTAAACTCAAATTAGTTGGTATCTAAAATGAAGCTAGGTTCTCGTGCGTGACTATGAAAATAAAAAAGTTTATGTTTTAGTTGCCCTATTTTTAAAACGGAGGTCGTATAATAATATTATGGGACTTTTATTACATTTCACATCAACTGGTATACTTTTTAAAGTCATTGTGAAAAACATAACATGTTATTAATACATCGCGCCTCTTAGTCCTAAAATGCTTAAGCAGAACACAGTACATAAACTAACACCTACTTTTCGATAATAAACCCCGGTGAGGTTTGCTCATTCAACTAATTAGTTGAATGTCATGATCACATCCCATCATTAGCTTAAAATTACCCACTGCTGAGTATACGTACGTATCTTTTCACGAATCTCTCTCTTCGGCGAATTGGTTATTTCAAACTTATTTATAATCATCTAATGACTTCTCTCGCCCAGGGTAAGGTGAGAAGGACTGTCATACTGACCACAAACTCTTGTTGGTTCTACTACATACTACATGCGCCTACATACTGGAGCAGATTAGACACCATCACGACTGAGAAAATTATACAATAGTTCTCTGGAATCAGCCAACCAGACATAATATTTGCGACCACTCGTCCAGCGAGACGGTCAATGTAATATAATAATATTATTTTCACATTATTTCAGTTGGGGCATTCGCACGGTGATCAACCTTCAGACCCCGGGGGAGCACGCTAGCTGTGGACCTCCTTTAACCAAATCTGGGTTCACATACGACCCTACTATCTTCATGGCTAATGATAGTAAGTATTGTATTTTTTTATTTATGCTTTATTGTACTTAAACTTTTCAGAATCTTCAGAACAAAAAAAATGTATAAAAAAAATCTTAGCCTAGGTTACATACCAACATTTAAAAGAGGATAATGAGATTTCATCCACAATTCTTCAGTTTTTCGTAATTGCCATTACATACTATCAAATCGAGCCATCAGAATCGTGACATCGTGACTATCGAGCAACTTTCGATAGTCACTAGTGGAACGGCCAATTTTTTTTTTCAAATCTCTTTTAAATCCCACAACTAAGTTTGAAAGACTGGATCTATAACTGTTATATAGCCATAGATACATAAATATATTTATTTACATTTTTGTATGACCCTGGACCTCATACCAGAATTCCCATTGTCATTAGACCCAGTTTCTTTTACCTATATTAGTGAACCTCGGTTAACCCACTTCTTCAGGGATGGACATGATGTGACCTTTTTTTAATAGCTACTACCCACTTATCGTGAGACTAAAAAATTTATTGAAAATAACGACTAACCCACTCTAACATTAAAATACCTTATTAATATGTTTGTTTCAGTCTACTATTACAACTTCGCTTGGCCTGATTACGCGGAGGCGAGTTTGAGCGGTCTACTGAACATGGCCAAAGTCCTCTCTTTCGCCCTCCAAGAAGGTCGAGTGGCCATCCACTGTCATGCAGGTAATGTGACTATTTAAGACTTTTTTTACTACTACACTACGACTAAGCTTACCGTACCGTACCGTATGCTTTCGCGTCATACTACGAGTACTACCTATTAGTGTGGACTGGATAATTGTTGACCATCAATTGAAAAACTGCCTCAAATCTGGCGCAAGGGTCCCCTTAGACGTCAATGGATCGAACGACAGTAGGTGTTTGTTCCCTCTCTCTCCCGCGTTGAGAACAAAACGTCAGAAATTTCGGCTGGTGTTTTCTGTAAGGCCGTCCAGCCGTCTAGCCGTCCCATTCGCGCCGAATCACAAACAAAGATTATGTAGGTATGTACAGTGGTATATGTGTATGTGTGTATATATGAGATATGGTTATCATCTACCAGTCAAACCTTTGGTTGTAATGCACAAAACGCGCAAAAAGAAAGCATATTTTCGTGCAATTATAAATAAAAGTAACTAAATACCACAGATTAAGGTATAAACATATATATGTAAACATATTTGCGTATTTATAATTTATAGCAGTAATAAACTTACATAATTTTATTACAAAAACAACTTAAATATGTGTATAACATACTGTATAGGTACATGAGTAATCTTGAACATGACAATACTATCATGAAGGTGTACATAATATTGCAGTAACTTGTGTACCTACATGTTATCATTTGTTATACATACGGTATAACCCTATGTATTTTATTGTATTTTAAGTTTTATTACCTTATAGGTTTTATTTACAATAGAATCCCCAGGTCTAGGTTTCTTTTTAATTTCCAATTACCTTTTGTTTTTTTTTAACTTTATTACGCTTGTCCTGCAACCCCAGCTGGTAATTATAGTCTGTACTGTGTAAATATGTATACTATACAATGTGAGGAATTAATTAAAAATAAATCTATTACTAATTTCAAAAGTAAGAGTTTGTTTATATAATCTCCACAATTACTGGTTGGATTTGTACAATAATTTTTGTTTTGGATACACCATTTATTGAGAATGGCTAGAAAACATCACACCACGAGCTATAGGAGCGAAAAAGCTGGTAGAACCGCGTGTAAGTGGCTAGTAAATGAATAAATTTTATATTATATGTATATTTAAATTTTAAATTTTATATTATATTTTTATTTTATATGTATACATTGAACTCACTTTAATTAGTAAACTTGTACAAAAACTAACAAAGAAGTTCAAGGAACCAAATAAATAATTAGGTACTTATGCACATGATTAAAAGTTCACTAGTATATGTAGGTACTCCTAAAATATTACCATTTTAAAACACTAACAAAACGCCCCGGTTTTTTCTTATGCACAATGAGGAGTCGGTATCATCATCACCTTCCATCAGACTTGAAATGAATGCTAAACAAATATATCGTACTTATCGTTTTCACCCACGGCTGCTTCTCAATAATATAAGCCTATAGTCTTCGTCACAAATAATCGATCCAACATAAAAATATTTGCCTTTCGAACCAGCCGTTCCCGAGATTAGCGCATTCAAATGAAAAAAGCTACAGCTTTAGATTTGGAGAGCGTTTACCTGCATCATAATAGGATGCACTACACTTAGCAAAATTTTCTTAGTTCATTCATTCTTAGTTGTCGTAGGTACTGTAAAGAAGAAAAACCGGACAAATCCAATAATTGGATATTTTCCTCGGTAAAAATGAGGTTAGTTTTCTGACGTCTCAGCAGAATAAAATAATAATAATAAAAAAAACATATTTCATTCATTCATTTATTTGAGAGATATTTCATTTTTAATTCTATATTTTTTTAAGAAATAAGTTTGCTATTTGACTCGTAAATACATATGATAACATCGTAGCACGTATATATCTATCTATCTCCAAACGCACAGTTATAGAATAATTATAGTTTTAATATTTGTATTGAATTTACCTTGTTGTCAAATACCGTATTATTTTTATTGTTATTTGATAACTAAGTTACTCTTGGTTATTTCCATTTGTAGGTATGTGTGATTGTGTGTAAATAGTAACTACTGTTAAGTAAAGGTACATATAAATATTCAATTTGACTCTTGAGAAAAATAAAAAAGAGAGAAGGGTCAGTCCTGCAATGTGACGATCGATGATCAACGATGGTTGTAAACAAAAACCAAAATTGATTCACTGCTCAAGACTTCTGATTAAAATTAATTTGAAATTAAATTAATTAAAAAGGTCTTGGCCTACATAACATAAATAGAAACTGGTTTTGGGCATACTATTTTATACAGTAGGTAGGTTTGAACGACCGCGACGATGACATCTGACACCGCGTAATGCTTGAGTTACATCCGCGGTAGTGTAGGTCGTCTACCTAAGATTTATTGTTTATTTGTACTACCTAATAAATAAAAAGTATACAAGTTAGCTACTTAAAATAAAAAACTACCAGCAACTTGTACATTTTGAGATTTAGCTTGCCAAAAAACATGCTGTAGGTATTTCTCCAATCGCTTAATTTTCATAATACCGAACAGTAATGATTTAGTACACTGTAAAAATGTATAAACCCTAATCGAACGTATGTGACAAGCCTAAATAATTAAAATAAAGTACATGAATATTAAAAAATCAAGCCCAGGCTGACACAGCCCCGCGTCAGTACAACAAGTGCGGCACTTGTTTTAACACGACAACATGATACTCGCGGGTATTTATTACTTGTTGCTGATTGGAGTTTACTTATACATAGCATTATTCCTGCTTTTGCTATTAGCACTCCTCATCTTCAAGGTTGTACTTGAACCCGTAAAAGGAGTGTGCAAGTCGAATGCACGACTCGACGGAAAGGTCGCTCTAGTGACCGGAGGGAACCAGGGCATCGGTCTAGAGACTGCGAGAGAGCTCGCGGCCAGGGGGGCCAGAGTCATCATCGCGTGCCGAGGCGCACAAATGTCAGCGGAAGCAATCCAGGACATCGTGGCCACGACTGGGAACGAGCAAGTCGAATATATGCACCTAGATCTATCGAGATTCAGTAGCGTCAGGAAGTTTGCTGCAGATTTCAACAACAAATATGATCGACTCAACATCTTAGTAAACAATGCAGGTTGTAGTGGCATGAAACCAAAGTACACCGAAGATGGAATCGACTTAGTAATGCAAGTGAATTATTTTGGACCATTCCTGCTCACGAGGCTGCTGACAGAAAAGCTCATCGCAAGTAAACCGAGCAGGATTGTAATAGTGTCGTCGATACTACATTATTTCGGAAAAATAAACGTCGACACCTTGGACAAAATAATCGGCCACAGCATAAAATCAATGTTTTTAAACTACAGCAACAGCAAACTGTGTGGTGTGCTGTGGGCCAAGGCCTTAGCTAAGAAACTGCCAGAAGAAATATCTGTGAACTCTTTACATCCCGGTTTAGTCAGGACGAATATATTCAATAAACTGCCTTCATGGTTTAGGAAAGTATTTACTTTCCTTTGTGACTTACTGAACTTTAAGACGCCTAAAGAAGGAGCGCAGACTGTGGTCCACCTGTGTGTTGCTGAAGAGGTCCAGAATGTGCGAGGGAAATATTTCGTGGAGTGCTGTGAAGCCAAGTACAGACAAGAAGCTGATAATGAAGATGTTGTGGAAAGAGTCTGGAACAAGAGCGTAGAAGTAACTAGCTCGATGTCTGATTGAGCCAAACGAGTTCCGGGTGTTTGCAAAACTTTAATGGAATTAGCGAGCGCTAGATTAATTATAATATAAATCAGACAAGACAAATGTTCCGGCCTTCATCAAGTCGTCCGCTTGTTATCAAAACTGGTTTAATACCTGCGTGTGAGTTACAAGCAAATCGTGAAAAAACGTTTTTGTAATCATAGTCGTAATAGATAAGTAAGTGCATTTATATATAATTGTGTGGTTTGCAAATTATTAAGAGTGTTTTCTGTTTACTTTTACTTTAGTAATAAGATAAACAGCTACAAGCCAAATATTAGTTATGCAATAAAGTAAGAAAAATTTTATAGACTACTAGCGACGCGGCCTATTTTGCACGGGCAGCGATTTCCAGATATACTCATCTTCTTTTATAAAATTTTCTTTCATAAAAACATTCTCCCGACCATAATGAATACGACAACATAAGAATTGGCAAAATTTGGTCCAGGCGTTTTTGAGTTATGCACTTACAAACACATTTTTGCTATTAATTTTTATATTATAAACAAGGTCACATGATGTTTGTTTGCCGATTTCCGAACGTTGGGTATCTATTTATTTATTTATTATTTAGGAAACAAACTGTTTATACTATTTATTTATTATGTCTAAATCCTACACGCGAACATGTACATAATTATAGAAATAAAGAAGTTTGAGACGATTTTGACTTTGTTTTAATCCAATTCTTATAAAGGGACCAATTGACGCGACACTGGAAAGGACCGCGAGTGTTAAAAAATTAATGGTATACCGGTTGAGAATTTATTATGCCACAGAAAAAATCATGAAATACAAAAAATTAAAAAAAAATTCAATTAAACCACAAAATATTGCCCCCTTAAAATTGTAATGATTCCTCCTCCGAAAAATCTACTAGAAAATATCCATAGAGTTTAAAAATAATCAACCCTATTTTTATCTTTTGGATCGGGTTCCCTTATAGTTGGCCGCCTGGCAAAAGAAAGAAAATTCACTGCAACGTTGATGCGTTGGCTAGGCAACCGGTAGCCGTCCAACCGACAACTCTGTGTGATCCACAATTTGTTGTTCCAGGTCTGTGTGTAGTGTGTGATGTGTATGTAAACTTAAACCCATAACTCTGGAGTCAATGTTAGTGTAGGCAACGTTTTTAAAAGTAAAAACTATCCTTCTAACAATGGGCCTCTTAAAAAACCGAGAACTGTAGTCCAGCTGAGGATTTCTACGGGCTGTTCATATAGTAATAGTCCTTGAGATGCACATGCGATGTCATTTTACTTTGAGGAAAAAACTAATGTTGCACGCACGGTAATGTACATAGCTTCTAAAATCTGAAATGAACAGGCAACAGATGGTGTTTGATAGAACGAACGAAGGGTTTTTTAAATAGGTATGAATATATGAATGGTATGTACAAGCGTTATCCCATGAGAGATTCTATAGAAAAGGAGCAGTTGACGCACGTATAATTTACGTGCTTTACAATCTAGAAGATAGAGAAAATAAATCGCGTGTTTATGATAAAGACATAAATATTGTCTGTGTACCTAATATCATCATCATCAGCCTATAAGTTCCCACTGCTGAGCTAAGGCCTCTTCTCACACGGAGAAGGTTTGAGCATTAATCACCACGCTTGATCAATGCGGGTTGGCGATTTTAAACTTATAATTAGAAATTAAAGTCCAGGTTTCCTCACGATGTTTTCCTTCACCGTATGTCAGTGGTGTCCAAACAATCATAGAAAATATTTACATATAACTCCGAAAAAGTCACATTGGTACTTTTGAACCCACATCCTCATGCATGAGAAGCGGGCTCCTTAACCTCCGGGCCACCACGACTTCCCGGCGTCACGACGTGTACCTACTGTATATAATCAAATTAATTTATGTAAACTATTCCTTAAAACTCAAATGTAAGCGCGTAACTTTTAAAAAACAGCGCTAAATTCCAAATGTATGTGAGAATTGTTTCAAAAAAAATAGCAGTCTAGCGATTGCGTCATACCTACATTTTGGGATTATAAAGATTTATTTATGCAAACGGAACGTCGCATTCAGATAACACATGCCGCATGCCAACAGTGCATGCTAAACCAGCGCAGGGTAAAGAAGTGTCATTGGCATCACTGCGTCACTTCTCTCCTACACCTCCTGAACCAGGACCACTCAACCTGCACTTGACTACTACACTACCTAGACTTATTACTCTTAATTAGCACATAACGCGACAACATGATACTCACGGTCATTTATTATTCATTACTCATTGCAATTAATTTATACATAATTTTCTGCTTGTCAATGTTGTTAAGCATTTTCTTATACAAGTTACTATTCGAATCCGCGAAAGGAGTGTGTTTGTCGAATGTAAGGCTCGATGGGAAGGTCGCTCTAGTGACCGGAGGGAACCAGGGCATCGGTCTGGAGACTGCGAGAGAGCTCGCGGCCAGGGGGGCCAGAGTCATCATCGCGTGCCGAGGCGCACAAATGTCAGCGGAAGCAATCCAGGACATCGTGGCCACGACTGGGAACGAGCAAGTCGAATATATGCACCTAGATCTATCGAGATTCAGTAGCGTCAGGAAGTTTGCTGCAGATTTCAACAACAAATATGATCGACTTGACATCTTGGTGAACAATGCAGGTTGTAGTGGAGTTAAACCGAAATATACTGAAGATGGAATTAATTTAGTGATGCAAGTGAATTATTTTGGACCTTTTTTGCTCACGAGGCTGCTGACAGAAAAGCTCATCGCAAGTAAACCAAGCAGGATTGTAATAGTGTCGTCGATGTTACATTATTTCGGGAAAATTAATGTCGATACATTGGACAAACTATTTGGTCAAGCCTATGCAGCTCTATTTTATGATTACAATAATAGTAAACTGTGTGGCGTGCTGTGGGCCAAGGCCTTGGCCAAGAAACTGCCCGAGGAAGTATCTGTGAACTCTTTACATCCCGGTCTTGTTAGGACTAGTTTATTTAGAAGATTGCCTGTTTTGTATCTAATACCATTTTATATTATTTGTAATTTACTGAACTGTAAAACACCTAAAGAAGGAGCGCAGACTGTGGTCCACCTGTGTGTTGCTGAAGAGGTCCAGAATATGCGAGGGAAGTATTTCATGGAATGCCGTGAGGCTAAACACACGCAATTAGCTGATGACGAAGAGTTTGTGGAAAGAGTTTGGCACAAGAGTGTAGACGTTACCAGCTAAATTATACCAGGCCAGTGTTCTTATATTTTTTGTCCGGGTTGTGTCCTCGAAATTTGTCTCTTGTTAAATTATTGATTTTACACATCACACACATATGTATAAGAACAGTTCTTTTTTGCATATCTATCAACTGTTTTCCATTTTTTTACGCGTCAATGACGGCAATTTATTAAGTCACCATACTTACTAATAATAATTAAGACTGCCAGTTTTTTTTTCAATTATTTTTGTTACCAATGCCAACCAATAAAAATAATCATTCACTTAATAGGGTGTTATTTAATAAAAAAATAAATCTCTTTAAATCGTTACAATTTTTGTTTTTAAAGATTCGTCTGTGATTCTTGGATTTGACGATATCTAAACTTAACGTTCAAATTTTTCTAGCAATAAATAGGTATGCTATTTGACGTCAAAATGGTTTTTTTTTTGTGAGGGGAAAATCATCAAATGACTTCTCCTGTCCAGGGCCGGGCGGGAGGGAGTGTCACACTCTTGCTGACTAAAAACCCCCCTGTTCCTTCTCCTGCTCTGGGTCGAGGTCGCGGTGCCTCATTGCGCTTACCCCGCAACCCCGGCTGAACATCAGCCTTTAATAGGGCCCCGTCTGTGGTGGTCTATTGGCTCTTTGAGGCGCGCACGGAACGCTACGCGCCGTACGCTCGGGCCTGGTTCTGGTCGGGCGAGCTGCCCTTACTCGCCGACCGCAGACCCGCGCTTACGGTAGCCGGAGATTATCTCTCGATCCCCGACGCCCGGAATGTCGCCTATTGTGGCGGCTGGGGCGTGAGGAGGAGGATTGCTCCCTCACGCGGGCCGCCTCCCTCTTTGCGACCATAACTGCTTCATAGAAGGAGGAGACGGCGTCCCAGTTCCTCCCACTCCGCACCATGGCCTCGACTAAGGCCAGGCGCGAAAGATCGCCGCCGCCGATCACTTCCCTGAGGACACGGCGGTGCTCAACCCAGGCAGGCCATACCGCTACCGTATGCTCCACCGTATCCTCTAGGTGGTCGTTGCAATGACGACACTCGGGCGTTTCCTGGAAACGCTGGATCCGAAACAAGAACCTACCGAAGCTGCCGTGCCCGGTAAGGACATGCGTCAGGCGGAAGGTGAGGAAGCCGTGGCGTCTCTCAAGCCACTCCTCAAAGAGGGGTCTTACCGCTGCTATAATAGCGTGCCCGGCCCTCGGCTGCGACAGTCGTTGTTTCCACTATGACTTTAAAACGAATTCGAAATCAAGGATTTGGGTTTAAAAAAAAAAACGTTGCCCCACACTAGGATTTGATCCTGTGTCTTTGGGTACGGTTAAAACATATCTACCATTTCACATACACGTGACACCCAGACCCGGAAAAACAATTTGTGAGGATGGAGGATGGATTGGGCTTCCGGTAACCGGTGTAAATGACACACGGGAAAACACATCGCTATAATTGTTTCACGCAGGTTTTCTGTGAGGCCGTGGTATTACTCTGATTAAGCCCATAGAAATCTCATACACAATTTATAGTATTGTTTTGACATTTCAATAAAATTATTTTTGATTATTTGTTAAATACAATACAAACATACAACATCGGTGGACGGCGATCGTCGTGTGATCTCTGACGCCCAGGGTGTCTCCTACTCTTCCTTCTTTTCTAACGTGACAGCTCCCCAGTTTTCCTTTTGCTCCGCACCATCGTCTCGACTAAGGTCTGTCGTGAGAGGTCGCCGCCGCCGATCACTTCCCTGAGGATACGGCAGTGCTCAATACACGCACACCGCCACATAGCTGTTTTCCTATGTATTTTATGTACATATTTTATTGTATGCAATATTAACCTAATGACGTTATCATGTTTTCGAGTCAAATTACAAACCTGTTTTTTTTTTAATTGTTACCATAATACTAAAATGTCAGTAGTCTGACTTATCGTGATATGTCTTATGACTACAAGTCTAAATAATTGTGGAGTGATAGCACGGCCACACAGAAAACCGGCGTAAAACAATCTCAGCGTTGGCCGTGTGAGTTAGATTACGAAGGTCCGATTCTAACTTTACCACCATCCTCAAATCAACCGACAAAAGTGACGGTCAGGGATTTGCATCGACTTTGTAAATTATTTTGTTGTTACCGGTGTCCATTGTCGTTTGCCACCCTATCCTATTAAGAAAACATTTTACGCAGATCCATACACTTAGGTACGAGGATAAAAAAACCTTCACATAGGTACGTAGATAGCCATGAATTCACCGGGTTAAAAATTTTATTAACTAGCCCGCGTCTTTAATTATATCATTACTTGCATTTTCGAAAAAAACTCAGTGCCAAAAATTTGCAAAAATTCAACAAAAAAAAATCATTCAAAGCAAATTCCTTTTAGATATTAGTGTAAACTATAGATATTATTAGACCATGTCCTAAACAAACAGAAAATACACAAGTAGGCACCTAACCAATTTTGTTTTCGTCAAAAAATATAAAATTTTACGAGCAACTTTTCAACCGTTTTATTGCTTTTATACATAATGAATTGGTAAATGGAATATAAATATGACTGAGAATTCTATTTTTCTCTGCATTAAATTTCAAACGCGCCAAATTCGTTTTCCTTCATAATTATGCATACCTATCGCTAGTAGTACCTAGCTACTTAGCAATGCACCGCTGTTATAAAATTATATACTTAAATCTTAATTGCACTTACGTAAACAATAAGACTAGTTGTCTTATTATGAATCAAAGCAAGGACGTGAATATTTAAATGAATAGAAAACAAGATTAAGAGTCCAGACTCTGAGTATCAACGCATGCATACTAATGTTACACAGCGCCGGATCAGTAGCTGCACTCATTCCAACGCGGCAACATGATACTCGCGGCGCTTTACTATTTATTAGTGATAGGAGTTAACTTGTACATAGCATTTTTTCTGCTAATATTATCGGCACTCCTCGCCTTCAAGTTTTTTATCGAACCCGTAAATAGTGTGTGCAAGTCGAATGCACGACTCGACGGAAAGGTCGCTCTAGTGACCGGAGGGAATCAGGGCATCGGTCTGGAGACTGCGAGAGAGCTCGCGGCCAGGGGGGCCAGAGTCATCATCGCGTGCCGAGGCGCAGAGAAGTCAGCGGAAGCAATCCAGGACATCGTGGCCACGACTGGGAACGAGCAAGTCGAATATATGCACCTAGATCTATCGAGATTCAGCAGCGTCAGGAAGTTTGCTGCAGATTTCAACAACAAATATGATCGACTTCACATCTTAGTAAATAATGCTGGCTCTGGTGGTGATAAACCAAGGTACACGGAAGACGGAATTGACTTTGTGATGCAAGTGAATTATTTTGGACCATTCCTGCTCACAAAACTGCTGACAGAAAAGCTCATCGCAAGTAAACCTAGCAGGGTTGTAATAGTGTCGTCGATATTGCATTATTTCGGACAAATAAATGTCGATACATTGGACAAAATAATAGGCCACAGCATAAAGTCAAAGTTCTACAACTATAGCAACAGCAAACTGTGTGGTGTGCTGTGGGCCAAGGCCTTAGCCAAGAAACTGCCCGAGGAAGTATCTGTGAACTCTCTACATCCCGGTGTAGTCAGGACGAATATATTCAGTAAACTGCCTTTTTGGTTTCTGAAAATATTTACCTTTCTTTGTGACTTACTGAACTTTAAGACGCCTAAAGAAGGAGCGCAGACTGTGGTCCACCTGTGTGTTGCTGAAGAGGTCCAGAATGTGCGAGGGAAGTATTTCGTGGAGTGCTGTGAAGCCAAGTACAGGCGAGTAGCTGATAATGAAGATGTTGTGGAAAAAGTGTGGAACAAGAGCTTAGAAGTCACTAGCTAGATTAATTATAATATAAGGCAGACTTAAGTGTTCCGGTCTTCGACCAGCGGAATATGTACGCTATTAAATTTGTTTGGGTTTAGTGGAAAATTTAATGTTTATATTAAAAACTTTCAGAATCAAGTAGATCTTTCTACAATCAACAATCATTATCGATGTGAAATGAATAAAAAATGTTATCAAACAGGTTGTCTTATCAGACTCGCCCTGTCCATTCTTTTAGTATTAGTCATTGATTATGCATTTAATAACAGAACAAAGTAAACATCATCCTTTTTTATTCTATTGATACCATTTTTCATCATATGACTTATGACCTTTGGTAGCGCCGCCGCTTTCTGCATTTGCCTCAGAGAGATCATTGTTAAAATTATGTACATATAAGTTTATAACTAGTTTTCAGTAAAATTACAAGTTATTGAGTTCTGTCAGTTTACCTAATTGTATTCATTGTTTTGGTAATTACTTATACTGTTCAACTTGCATGTTTATATGTGGTAATGAAACAGGGTCAAAGGTGACTGGCACCGGGAAATAAAGACGTATACACATTACTAAGGAACTGTCGAGTTTTATTGTCTTAAAGCAAATTGATAATGGTTCAAAGTTGAATGACCAGAGTACATAAGTTAGGTAAGTAGGTTACCGTCATGTAGTCGAGGCTTACTTGACGGATAGATCTGTCATCTACCCCGGTCACCGGGGCGTGTGGAACCGGCGACATATGTCGCGCGGTGTTCCACAGGGATCGGTCTTGGGACCGCTCCTGTGGAGCGTCAGGAATTTTCCCCTGGCAAAAAAAAGGTAAGTAGGTTAGGTAGGTTCAAGTATCATATTATATATTTTCGTTTATATTTACGCCTATATTTTCTAAACGACTAGTTTAACCTTTGGACTGTCAATGAGATGACCAAACAATATGTGACCAAGCTCCTTAACAGCAACGTGACTGAATTTTTAATGTTTTAAAATGAATATCATTGTTTGTTCGTTATGGGCTTCCTTTGTTACTTAAAGATTTAAATTTAGAACATAAAGTGAAGAAAAACTTTATTAAATTTAATCGTCCTTTTCTCCCCTTTCTTGAAAGAAACTAATCATTAGGTATTCATAAGAGATGCACAAGTAATAAATATATAAAAAAAAAAAACTTTAAGAAATAAATAATTGTTCCATTCTTGTGACTGAGAAACAACGAAAAGTCAAAAAAAGATGTATGAAGTATATAAGATGAAGTACCTACACAATTATACGCTTTATTAAAATGTTTGGTAAAGAAACACAGAAATATTTTTATTAAACATTTGTTTACTGCAGCGTTACTTGTCGTTGTTTAAGTGTGTAGTTTTCGGTGCATGTCTGTCTAAAAATAGAAAGAAAATAATCAGTATTAATAATTATATTATAGTATAGACAAGCACAGTAAAACACATGAAGAATAACAAATTATTAAAACAAGTTGTACAGAAACAATCTAAGATCTACTTTATAAATTGTCTATATGCGTTTTCCTATAAAATGATATATAATTATCAGAAAATATGTCAATGCTGACTTTGCTAGCGGATATGGTAGTTGCATGCGCAACAATTCTTTCTGGCATATCGGACATCTTATATTACCTTATTACTATATGGAATAGACAGAGTGCATTAGAATCATACGTATTTAAATAATCGCTAACTGCATAATATCTACGCAACAGAACCTTTGATGGGTTATCATCATCAAATGACTTATCCCGCCCTAGGTGAGACGAGAGGGAGTGTCAGACTGTTACTACTAAAACTTTAATAACCAGCCCGTTCCTTTCCTTGCTCCATTTTACATTATGGCTCCCCAGTGTGCTAGTTGTTGACTCTTCGAGGAGCGCGGAGACCGCTTCGAGGCGGACACTCGGGTATATTCTGCGTCGCTTAGATCTTTGTTCATTAAGGCTAGGTATATGAAAGGGTTAATTCTATAATCGTGACATAAGCAACATCAAACTGTATCAATTTACTACTGACAATCATGAGGATAATTCTCTAAATGACAGGGTTAGTCAGAATCTTCCGTTGGACAGGCAAGTTGGAGATTGCAGTGTTAAAATATGCCCCGTATGATTTGTATACGTAATTGTTACACTTTTAGTTTGAATGATGACCTTATAAGCAAAACAAATGTTAATCTTGAAAGTCAAAGTCATTCCAACTATGTTTTAGTTATTATTGGTACTTTAGAAACATCAAAATAAGTATAAGTAATGAGAGCGTACCTACCTAATACAATAGGTATTATTAGGATTCCAAGTTTTCCTTGATCGAGACCATTTTGAAACAATTTTTTTTCGTTGCAAATTAATAGGGAAAGTATATTAAGTATGATATCATAAGCAAGCCCGTGACATACTGGCACAAAACGAAACATGGTAACAACTAGAAATTTGGTTGCATGAAGCTTTAAAAAATATTATGTCACTTATACTATCCATTTCCTTGAACATCTACAAATGAGAAACTCCAAATAACGAAGTATGAGAGAGCCACGTTTCAGCACGAATGGGTCGGCTCGACCGGAGTGATACCAAGGCCTCACAGAAAACCGGCGTGAAACAACCACAGCGTTGTGTTTCTCAATCTGAGTGAGGTTACCGGAGGCCCAATCCTCCCTAATCCCCAAAAGGTCGGCAACGCACTCGTAACTCCTCTGCTGTTGCGCGTGTCCATGGGCGGCGCTGATTGTAATAATCCAAATTACGTCTATTCTCTTTCTTCCTTCAGGTCTTGGGAGAACTGGTGTCCTTATAGCCTGTTACCTCGTCTACTCCCTCCGCATCAGAGCCAACGACGCCATCCGCCTCGTGCGCAAGAAGAGACCCAAGTCAGTGCAGACCTCCGGCCAGATCCTCTGCGTACAGCAATTTGAACACTACATGCTGCCGCAGACTATTGTGTTTAGTTCCAAGTACGTAACAGCTTTCCTATTAATCTTAGACCAAAAAGGGTATTTATAAAGGGTAGTCACGAATCACGAATACAGCAGAGAAGGTCTGTTGGTCTTTCAGTGAAGTCAGCTACTTATTTTAAAATTCAGGGTTCCAAAAATGTCTCTGTCTAATTGATATGACCTCTGCCAGTGTGAATGGAAATACAAAATAAAAATCTTTTTCAGAGAAACCCTGAACTTGACGAAAGATAAGAAAACATCAGAATTCACGCTGAAACAGTATCTGTACCGACAAAGGGCCACTTTGCATGGCCTTGAAGAGAGAGCTTTTAGAGAACTGCCAAAGGTTTGTATTTTGTTAAGGCCTAATTATAAGTAAGGTAAGCTGTCTAATTGTACATTTTCACGAATTTTCCAAAGGGAAGTTTTCCCACACTTCTCAAATTATGTTTGGTATGAGTTTCTGATTATGTATTAATTATTTGTTATTTAACATACGTACATTCCAAACTCGGATTACCTACTTGAAATTTGATGCAGTCAATTTCGAAAAAGCCATCAATACCCTAACTCCTATAACCCTAACTCCAACGAAGCACTTAGATACCTTGTTCACTATCAAATATTTCATTGAAAACTTTGCAGATAGTGTACTGCCTCTGTGAGCGTCTCCTGAAGCTGTGTGGTTGTCAGCAGAGCGTAGGCATGGACTTCCGTATCAAGAACAAGCCTTTCTACAAATCCTTCATGGTGTACAAACTGAGGAAGACGAAGCCTCCAGACCCTACCACTCCGGAGGAAGCTGCTACTGAACTTGGTGTGGACACTATCTCTATTATTTTTACAAGAGGATAAGGCAGGGCTAGTTAAAATATCAAAGAACCCTGATTAACAACGAGCGATTTTTAGAAGTTGAAAAAAATCCAACGACATTCTTCTGCGAGATACTTTTATTTTGCTGCTTTTTATAACCCATCATTTTACCTACATCTAATACAATATGCAGAAAGCGGATAATATAATATAAGTATGCGCTTCCACTTTAACAAAATAACAAGTAAGTATTATAGTTTTTTTCTCAGACCAGGTAACAGCTCTGCCGATGGTGGAATGGCGTGATCCAGTTGAGGAAGATATCGAGAGGAATCTAGAGTCAGTCAGCAGGATAACTGGCACTGCTAACAATGGCAGCATACCAGCATTGCAGATACATGAGGTAGGTCGGTTCTGTGCTTAAACAATATGCCCAATGCAGCTAAAAGGTATAATTTTCTACACAAAATATTAAAGCCCACATATTACCGGCATTATTTTCTTCTTACTAATATTATAACTGCGAAAGTTACGATGTTTGGATATTTGTTAGGTACTCAATCACGCCAAAACGGCTTGACGGATCTCGATAAAATTTGGTACAGGCATAGGATACACTCTGGAAGAGGACATAGGCTACTGTTTGTCAACATACCATGCGGGCAAAGCTGCGGGCAAAAGCTAGTATTATATTTACCGGCTTCGTCTAGTTTTTTACATATAATTTGACGTGTTAAAGTACCATTTTATGGACTATTTGCAAAAATAAATTCATTGTTTCATAGTATTAAGATGACAAATAGCGGGTTTGTAAATTCAGAACTGTCATAAGGTATACCATGCGAAACACGCCATTATAATTTTATATTTTGGCATATTAAAACTTGACCCTGTTGTTGTGTCTTAACGCTTTACGTATAAAGATAATCTAACGTGTTTTATCTCCTTCGAATAAATTTAAATTTGACCTTGGATTTCCAAAACTAGATCGGGCCATATTACCTGTTCATTTTCATTCTCATCTCGTTTTCCGCAACTGAGCCAAGTAGTGACAGCCAAGTAGTTCTTGATAAACAAACAACAGTTTTAAGGAAAATCTTGGAAAAAATCAACTACAACGATCGCGCAAAGGTTTTAGCTTTGCGACCTCAAATTAATTGTTACCTGTTTTTTGAGTCAACAATGTCAGTCAATGCAATTTTCTAATGTTCTTTGAAACCCATTATTATGTCAGATAGCCAACCAGTAAATTAAACTAAATTAGTTCAACTTAAATAAGATGTTGAACAGCTCAAAAGTTCAATAAGAATAATGATAACAAGGAAATTGTTAATATTGCTTCGTTCTTTCTGTTCAATCTTTAAGTGTCTGGCTCATTTTAATGGTCAGGAAGATTAAATAATATGTAATATTTTTTTAGTTTTCCGTAATTCTGAGTGACAAAAAGGATGGTTTGTAACAAAACACGTCCGCTTAAAAAAATTGGCGAAATGTTAGTAATCCATTATTTAAATAATCGCATTCCCTAAATTCCATATTGTCAGTTTTCCTAATCCAAACTAATATTATAATAAGTGAAAGTAACTCTGTCTGTCTGTCTTTTCTTCACGCCTAAACTACTGAACCTATTTGTGTGAAATTTGGTACAGACATAGTTTGGAACTCGAGAAAGGACATAGGATAGTTTTTATACCAAAAATCTGTAGGAAGTTACTATTCCACGCGAAGAAAGTTGCGGACAAAAGCTGGTCCCCAAATAATTTATTGGTCAATAGTAAATCACCATAATATAATAATAACAAGAAGCTACTCTTCAATAATATTTATGACTATGTCGTCTTTCCAGGCATTCACAGTAGACCACCACAGTCTTCCAGAAGAGAGGCAGAAGTATTTGAAGCAGTTGAGAAATGATATCAACCAGCAGAGGGACGCATTTGATAAGATCAACGTTGAGGTGAGGCTGCGTTGATACTATTTAATAAATTACCTAGATTTTATTAAACCGCTAGTAAAGAGGTCACAAGGGCAAGTGCGGTGGCTGGGCTACTAGCTGCCATGCAACGTGTCGCGGGCTCGATTCCCGCACGGAACAACTCTTTGCGTGATCCACAAATTATTGTTCCGGGTCTAGGTATGTCTAGGTAGGTCTAGTGTATGTGAAATTGTATGTTTGTAATTGCGCCCACGACACAAGAGAAAATTAAAGAATGGCGCAGTTTGTAAAAAAATAACTGTCAGGTACTTCATGTCTTATCAACTACTGACACCCGGATTCTGAAAGACTTGTCAACGCTAAAATTAACTAATCTCCTGTTAAATATCTTGTCAAGTCATCTGATTGGTTGTTGATAATTCAGTCAACCAATCAGATGACATGACAAGAGATTAAATTGATTTTATCATTGATCGTGCTTTTGTAAACTGGGTGTGAGTTAGGCAATTGTTTTTGAATTCCCCATAATATTTTTTTGCAGGTGGAAAGCCATCAAATTACTTTTGTCTCCCTGGGTGCGTGAAAGGGAATTTTAGAATTTTAATTACTATAGACTATCCTTACTATGCCTGTCCCTTATCCTGCTCCAGCCCGTGACCACGCTTCATTATTCCGCTTGACCCACCACACCATTTGCTGATTCCACATAATAGTTAAGAATCTTTTAGAGTCCGCATTTGGAGAATAACAGACATTAATTATAACAAGTACTTGTGAATCATGAAATCTTTTTCCGTAACAGGAGGATCCCACAATTCTGACTGGTCTACTGTTCGAATGGCTGGAAGGTCTAAAGCAGCCGGTGCTGGATCGAGAGGACCTGTCCCTTATCGTTGGAAGAGCGTACAACGTGGAATCCTGTGCGCTTGCTTTGACGATGGTAGGTCTATTCACAGAGTTTTTAAAGTACAAAACACTTGATTCTCCCAAAAAGATCAGTCGGAACCAGTTTTAGTTATAGTTTATCTGCTTGGTGCAAACTTCAATCTAATAAGGGCATTTATTAGACAAACCCATTAAAATTTTTGAACATACAGACAACACGATATTCCGATAGAGATCCACACGCGAAGCCGAGCCATCGATGTCGCTAGCGGTAGGTTGGCCACTCTTAATATCTTGTGCAGTATTTTTTTTATTGAGGAGTTTATGATTTTGCCTATCCTGATAATTAGACCAAAAACAGGTGACGATTTATTGTCAATTAAAATGGTTTTTTTTTGTAAAAAGAATGGCATTTAGGAAGCAAGTAGGTTACCTATATGGTAATTTTTGTATATATCTAAATAATTACTGGATCTATGATTTTGCTTCAGCTTATTTTGTGATCTTATTTACAATCCGATTTTGTGATCTTTGAACGCGAGTAACTTAATACATCGGATTCGATCGATAGCCCACTTTTGAATTTCATTTAATTCACTTGAACAATTCTACTAATTTTCAGTTGTCTAAATTGACCTACCTATGATTTTCTATGGCTATTAATGTATAAAGAAAACTTTCTTTCAACCATTTAAATTTTCCATTCAGGAGGATATAATGCTAGTGGAGTATCTCCTTCGCTTCGTAACCCGTCTCCGTCCGCTTGCTGCCAACAAGAAGGTGGATATCCTCAAACGTCTGCTGGCCTCACTCACGCATCAGACTGTTAGCGTCAACGGACGATGTCTTCCTACGCGAAAGGTTGAATATCCATTTATTACATTAAGATTTTTTATGCCTCATAATCAGGTTTTTTAAGGGATAGGTTGGCAAACAAGTAGGCCGATTACCTGATGTTAAGCAATCGACACCGCCCGTTGGCCCATGGGCACGTACTACATGTACCTACAGTTGAACTAGTTGTAAACTGATACTTGCGTGCCTTTCTTCAGAACAGGTCCACTTAAACTGGCGTGGTTTTTTTTCCTCAAAAAATCATTACAGAATGAACTTGCACGGTTCTCACACATTATATTGTTATTTTTTACATAGTCTAGACTTAAGGAAGTGGAGTTTCTCAGACACTGAATTGTTTCGGCATTTCTTCTCAGATTAGTCAGGAAATGCGGGCTTCATTTAGTTTTTTTTATACGATTTTGACGTGAAAAGTGATGTTTTATGGTTTACTTGCAAAAATAAATTCATTGTTTGTTTTATTAAAAGGAGTTGGCGGCCTTCTGATTTACCTAGCTTATTTACGAAAACAAAAAGTGATGCATACAAGCTTACAACACACGATACCATACATATCTATTTCAAGAATTTTAATAGATAACTGTTATTTCATATTCGAAAAAGTGTTGAAATAGACGATATACCTATTTAATTTTTAGCCTAATCAAGTACTTAATTTTCTTTACGCTTGATCTCCTGTTTTCTCTCTCCCAGGACTTCCAGAGACTCCGAGATGGAACATGCAGTCAGGTGATCAACTTCATGCTGCGTATGATTGTGGAACTGCAGAAAGACATGGTGAAACCAGGCAGGGACGATGCCGACGTCGTCGTACCTCAACGGAGATTCAGAATAAAAGCTTGGAAATAAACTTGTGTTTCATTTTATTTCTCCTTTCTTTTTCTAATAATAATATATAAATAATACACGTCAAATACCTTAATTAAATAGGTAATAATTAAATACCGTAATTATTAGGTATATATTCTTTACAAATACCATTCTATAATTAAATCAATCAGTTATCTATAATCAATCTTTATATAAGTATAAAAATGGATCGCAAAATATGTTGGTAAGCGCATAACTCAACAACGCCTGGACCAATTTTGCTAATTCTTTTTTTGTTGTGTTTTTTACTGTTAGGAGAAGGTTCTTATCAAAAAAAATACTAGACAAGTAGAGGCGAAGATGAGTGATCCTTTGATAGCGAGATAGTTGGACCCATGCGAAGCGGGGGCGGGCCGCTAGTTATCAAATAAATCTAAAGTTAACATTTAAATAAATTCGAACTTGGAAACATACGAACATCCCACGCCATCTATGAGAATTTAGGTTCAACGTAATTTTACTAAGAAAATAATATTGACCTATTGTAATTCACTGAATAACTTTCGAACATGGGGGAATTTTTAACTTTTTAACCCTTTGACCGCCAAAGACGCTTTAAAGCGTCATTCAATAACTTGATCGAGACGCCAATGACGTCTTAAAGCGTCCATCGCATTTCAACTTTTAATGACGAATAAAACTTAGCTAATGTTAATTTTCTGAATCAGGAATATTTAAAACTCTTCATATTGACTTCGACTACTATAATTATGCATTAAAACATTGAGCTATAGTATAATTGGACACGTACCTAATACTAAAAATTAACTCATCAAAAAATTTACTTATATAGTTTACACTCACACCGCCAACGACGCCTTAAAGCGTCGACTAGTGTTGTGACTACCCTCGAATGAAAAAAAAAAAATAATAGGTCGGTAGTTTCAAAAATGGTGCCAGTCAAGATTTTTACGTCATATATTATTTTACACTAACTGTCGAAAGCGAGGCGTGTAAACGGCTCTGTGTATTTTTGGTTGACAAGCATATTATTATTACTGTTTCCGCATAAATTTGAAGCTGCGTTTTGAACCGTAATGGAGAAGAAGACTGGTAAGTTTACGTTATTTTTCTTTGATTTACATTTCTTTAAATTGATAGTAAAAATATAATTAGCATACAGTATGTACCGCATTTGCTTGAAAAAATATTATTCCTCGAGTCAAAATATTTAATAATTTTGAAATAGTGGCCCACCATTCGAATGTCGATACATCAAAAGTGATAATAGGTATTATAAATAAAATTCCTAACTCTAAGACTACTTAAGTATAGCCAACATGTGTAACGTATTAATTAAACATAATTTTACGAAAAAATATATATTATTATTTGTATCGCTTACTGATTTTACACAGATTTGAAGCGCCCAAGAGAGCAATCGCCGAGCATCCTACCCCAAGTTGCTCAAACACAAGCCAAACATAAGCCCACATCAGCTGCAACTTCTCAACATACTAATATAGAAAAAAATATCACAAGACCATGTTTAGAATGTAACAAATATGAACGTGATGATAAAAGGAACTACTATTATTGTCAATTACTAAATGAAGAATTCATGTACATTAAACCGTGTATTCGTTCACGTTGCTACATAAAAATGTTGAATTTTTTAGAGCATGCAAAGAACGCTCACTTTGACGAAATAAACATAGATTTATCAGACACAGAGAAACAGTAGGTTTCGATATGTTTGAAGATGAAAAAATAAAGAATATTATTAATACAGTTTTTTTTTTCAATATATTATATAATATTTATTATTTAACATAGTGCCTAGTTTCTAACTAATATGTATTAAGTAGGTATATTTGTTTGCAGTACCTTCATACATTGATTTATAAATATAATTTATTTACCTAGGTACTTAGTTTCCTTGTAACATTATAGTTTTCCCTTTACTTAAATAAACATCGACAACTTATTCGAACATTACTAATAATCACACATTTTTCTATGTCGTGAACGCCGTTGACGACTTAAAGCGTCCGCCTATGACGTCACAAGCGAGAACGTTGGTTGTTATAGTGTTGGGATTTGACGGTAGGAAAAAATAACATTTTATCGATGTACCCTCAAGACAAATTATTATTATAACTGCAATAAGTATTTCACTAGCAGATCGTTTTGTGTTACGCGTTTTTATTAAAGATAAATATGGATCACGAGGAGCTCCTTCGTATTTTAGAAGGTGTCGATGATGGAATCGAAATTGAATCTGCATCTGACAGTGAAATTGAAGATGAATTTGAGGTGAGTCATTTCTAAGTTCACAAACCTACTTCTAACATTACAAGTTATACTCCGCTGAGATTGGACGGCATGCCCGAAATTTAGTTTAGCGTTTTTTAGCTCCCTTACGCCCTGTGTCACGGAGTACTCTAAGAATTACGGGTACAAATTACACTCGGACAGAAACACAAATGTGTGTGTTATGTGGGAATAACGACCTAAACTATTCGACTACCGAGGCTGTCCATAATAAATCATAATAAAATCGTTTATTATCCATAGTAATGGATATTCATAATTATCATTTAAAGTTTACTGTCTAAGGACTACTGTCCTTAATAATTAATTTTAATTGATATTCATTTATCTTTTTTAGGCTGTACTAACTGAGAACCTCCCAGCATCAAATCCTCCAAATGTTCAGGATGAAAGTGATGTAGTTGAGAACATACCAGGACCACCTCCTATTCAATGGACAAGACAACCATTTGGAATAGAAACTCCTTTTTTTGATGACTTTGGTAGTGGTATTTCACCTTCATTAAACTTAACATCATCGTCAAACGAATTAGCAGTTTTTGAGAAGTTCGTGGACGAAGAGTTAATAAAAACAATAATACGCTACACTAATCGGTATCATTGCTACTTCATACTAAACACGGATTTGAGGAACCACTCGAGGCTGCAGACTTGGAAAGATGTAACCGTTCCAGAAATGTATATATTTTTGGCTATTACTATGTTAATGACTAGAAACAGTCGCTTAACGATTGAAGAGCATTGGTCAACAAATCCGCTATTGAATTCTCCAATTTACACAACTCTAATGAGTAGAAATCGTTATACGACAATATTAGGAATGTTGCATTTTTCTGAACCAAGACCAAGGCATGCCAATGACCTAATATTGTCAAAGATAATAACAGTGGTAGATGACGCAAGACAAAAATTTCAATCTAATTTTATTCCGTACAAGAAGCTATGTATTGATGAAAGTATTGTTCCATTTAAAGGAAGGTTAATTATCAAACAATATATACCTAATAAGCGTAATCGATTCGGCATTAAACTGTTTGTCTTATGTGATGTAGAAACGAGAATTATATTGGATTTTATCATATATACTGGTTTAGAAACTGAAATAATACGCGATGCAGACCTAGGTGTAAGTGGATCAATAGTTATTACCTTTTTACAAAAATATTACTTTTCGAATAGACAAATTTATATGGACAACTGGTACAGCAGCCCCAAATTATTTATTTCTTTATTAAATCGAAATATAGGTGCTTGTGGAACTGTAAAACGTAATCGCAAAGAAATGCCTGAATTCAAGAAACTGAAAAAAGGCGAGAGGGATGTGAAATATGCTCCCAATATAATGGCTCTAAAATGGCACGACAAAAAAGATGTGTACATGATCACTACTATGCATAAAGATCAAATGGGACCTACTGAAAAAATTGATCGGTCCACAGGTTTACCAAAAATGAAACCCGAATGTGTTATAGATTACAACGAACACATGGGAATCATTGACTTGAATGACATGATGTTAAGTTCTTTACACAGTATTCGAAAAGTGACGAAATGGTACAAAAAGTTATTTTTTCATATAATTGACCTCTATTTGCTAAACGGTTACAACTACTACAAAGTTTTGCAAGACAACAAAACACTACGTTTTGCCAAGTACCAACTGGCAGTCGTAACACAAATTATCCAAAAGTACGCAGGAGACAAGACCTTACCGATGACTTCACGAAATATGGACCAACCATTACGATTAATAGGAAATGCGGCACGCCACATGCCAGCATATTTACCGGATTCGAAAAAATTACGTTGTAAATTATGTAGTAATTTGAAACGCAAAAGGCGAGATACAAGATTTTGGTGTGAAATTTGTAAAGTGCCTCTTTGTGTTACATGTTTTCGTGAGTATCATGAAATAAAAATATTGCACTAACGCATAACTTATTGTCATACTTTGATTATAATAAATATCGACAACTATTAATAAATCTATCATCACATCACTGTCTATGTTACGTTTTATGACAAAATTACCCCTCTCCTTCGCCATTGACGCTTTAAAGCGTCGACTAGTTACGGGAAAATAGGGTAATGTGTTATTTTTATATGCAAAATCAATATTTACAGAGGCATTTATTATACATATACACTAATTTAAGGTATTTGATCATAAACTAAATCTTCAATGGTAAAAGTATTATTTTATTTGTACAAGCACAATGTATCGATGTTTTATCGATTCAAAGGTTTTTTTTTATCGGTCTAAGGGTTAATAATGATAAACTAAATATTTTTTAATTTCATTATTAGTAAAACTTCAGTTGTATAAGCATTATTTTATTTGTAAACTATGCACAAACAAAATGTATCGATGTTTTATCGGTTTGCGTTTCCCATCACTATTTTTTTATAGGTATAATACAACGAATTTATTGCTTGGCGTCGGGAGCACGGTTTCTCGTTATTAGCGTGGCGGTCAAAGGGTTAAGTATTCTCTAGTATTATAATAATTTTCTAAAGTATTTTGAAAATTTGTTGCCGGTTCAGTTAGACAGTAATTTAAGTCGATTTAGTTAGTTAATCGGTTATTGTAACGATAGATATTAGTTAATATTTCTATGTATAGATATTAGAAAAGTATACACATATATAACATTACATACAAGTTAAATATGGGTTTTGTTGTGTATTGTTACCGTTAAATAAAACCTTGAACCATCAAGAATAACAAATATCAAAGCTTAAATAATCGACTAAACCCCTGCGACAACGAACAACTCTAAAATTTTGACAGTTCGCCCATTGCTATCGAAAAGTACGTGCCGTGTCATCGAATCGTAATTACACGTCGTATTTTTGGTACAATTTACCTATAACTTAGTGGTGTAGCGTTGGCATTTTTTATTATTTACAATCTTAATAATATCGCTTGAATCATGTCGTCCACCGAAGAAAGTTCTCAACTTAAGGCTGGCCATCCCCCGGCAGGTATAAACTTAGTTCGAATGCCTTTGTTTATGTGTTAAAATGAGTCTAAAAACTTTTGCATTTGCCTTCGCAAACAAGAAACCGAAATATTGAAGTGATAAAAACGCTATAGATATGTAATTTTGATCTAAAACGCTTTTGAAATAGGAGGTCTTTTCAAAAAATAATAATTAAAGTAAAAACGGCATTGCTATCAAGTTGATGAGGCCTTGAATTTGTTTATGACGTCATTTTAAGTTATATTTTCCATGTTACATTAATTGCGTGTTGTCAAACAAAGAATTGAGGCGTCAAGGTCACAAGGCGGTCATTAAAGGCTTAGCATACCTAATTTTATGCTTAAACTAACAGTTTTTATCAGTTCAAACTAAACAAGTTTTTGTTTTTAAAGTTGTAATGTTTTTACTGTTGTCTAGTTACAACCTTATAAGAATCTTACAAGTTGAATTGCACAATAATACATAAAATATTACCATTATTGTGTAATGCAATATATTATTAAACTATTACAGAGGCATATTTTATACATTACCAATATTCTAAAACACAAATTAAATTGAACACTGAGTTGATAAATTTAAAACTGAAATGCCGTAACAAATTCAATTTTAACACTGATTACTTACACATAAAGTATTTTTTTCTAATCTTGCATAGTTATCACTGTTCTCTACTTTTGAATTACAGTGAAAGCTGGAGGTATGAGAATTACTCAGCACAAGAGCCCTCATAGCAAAGACAGCAGCAAGGAACCAGCCAACGAAGACCTGACTGGTCTCTCTGGGCCTTCACCCGTGCCTTCTAACCCAGTGTCCATCTCTGGGGCCCCGAACAGAGGTAATGCGGACTTCACTCCGGAAGCCGCACAAGTCGCTCATAGTCCTAAGCCGCCTGCACATGTCAATCTTAAGCCCCAAACAAATATCCAACAGCCCAGGAAATAGACATCATATCTTTCAAAACTATTAAGGTTAGATAGATCCACAGGAAAACGATGTATTCAAGAATTATTAAAGTATCGAAATAATTTTCAATCTGACTCACTTAATCAGACTACTTGATTACTACCTTAGATTTAAAAGGAAGTAGTACAGTAATAACATTGACAATATAAAACAAATGTTATTAAAAAAAAAATGTTCTGAGTTGAGCATAAATTGTTTATGATGAAAATATTTTTGTCTCTTTTAACTTGCAGTGTAGTTAACTAACTTACAAATGATTTCATATCTACAAATGAATGTTATGCAATAGGAATATTTCTGTTTGTTTATCTATCTACCTTGATAACTTTATCAATCTGAACTGTTTACATTAGGTATTGGGCAAGTATTTCGTTGTATACAGATGCACAAACTATTTTAAATGATAACATTCATTTTTATAGTATTGGTAGCCATTATTTGAATGAGTACAGTACAATATTTTTTTATTGTTTGTGTCAATATGCTTTTCCTTTTTGAGAATAAATATTTTAAAAACAGGTCTATTTCATCATATCTAAACAACTGTTCAAATAAAACTTTCCATTTTGGATTTTTTTCTATTCACTCTGTTCAAATACCTAATGTAAACAAACTAAAAACATGTCATGGTTCTAACTTCGCACCATTCTGACGTAGACGACATACCATTATAAGTATTGCCAGCATTAAAATATCATATCATTTAATGTTGCCAAGTTATAACCATGTAAACCTAGTGATTGGATTGATTAAAAATTTTACTAAAAAAAAACATGTTAATTAAAAGAAACACATTATGTATTCAATCCAGTTACTTAGGGAACAACTTACTGGACTTCTAAGATTAAAATCACCGAAGCTGATAAATGCGTATTATAAAATAGTTTTAATGCATTTATTGACTGACTGGTTTTCTGTCTAGAAAATATTTACACTGAAAACAAAAAATTTTTTATTGAATTTAAAAAAATGATACAACTTTATTGACAATTATTACGAATTGTTTCGTGATGAGACATTTTGATAAAACATACTACCTATGTTTGAAGAATGAAAGATTGATTTTTTGTGTGATATGATGTTTATTTTTCTGTAAACAACATACTATAAATTTCCTTCATTACTTCATACTTAAAAATAAACTATTTATTGCTCTTATCCGTGCAGTTGATTTTACTGCCAACAATATTTTTTCAAACATAGTTTGCGCATTCATATCAATAAATGTTAGTTATTGTTGTATTAAAAATAATATTCTTCATTATTTGACTGTTTTAATGTGTGTAATTGTACTTAGGAAGATGGATGGTGTTCATACTTAAGAAAATTGCATTGGATAAATTTATTTACTTTGTGACTAGCGAAAACATGGTTTCGGCAAGTCTTTTTTAAATTTAGAATTCCTGTAGTATTTTTATATATCGATAAAACAACGCTTCTTTTTATAAGTGCTATTTACAGTGACTTACATTTATAAAAGTATGAACACCAACTATTTGAATTGAATTAGAATATATAAAAGTGTATAATGTGCGGTATAATATAATAGTTATACATAAATGTAGTTAGTTCAGTAAAAAGATAACCAGTGTTGATACAATAAAATATTTAGTTACATATTAAAATAATAATGGATCATTACAGTTTGCACAAATATGTTCTAAAGCTTTTTTTCTAAGACTGCAAGTTTTATTTGCTTTTTTTATTATCTTTTCAAAATTTTATTATCGCTCGCTAAATGTTTTAAATTTATTTATTAATTACTTCGTTGATTTTAATGCCCTGAGATGTTACAGGGAATTAAATATTTTAAATAATTACGGAATTTATTTTTGGTTGTTATAATATTTGGAAATTTTTAGATTGGTTTGGTTTTTACGAGATTTTCTACGAAAGCAATATTGGAAATAGTTATTATTAGTGTTAAATTAGATTTTTTTATATGCCTACTTAAAGTGTCACATTTTTAAAGATGTGACAAATTACTCTTACAGGCAAAATTGTTCATCATCATCATCATCATCAGCCCTTTTCAGTCCACTGCTGGACATAGGCCTCTCCTATTGCACGCCACTGGGATCGATCTTCGGCCACTCGTATCCAGCTCCTGCCAGCCATCTTGCGCAAATCATCACTCCACCTTGCCTGAGGACGTCCTACATTACGTTTGCCGAGACGCGGTCTCCACTCAAGAACTCGTCTACTCCAACGGTCATCGGTTCTTCGGCTAATATGGCCAGCCCACTGCCATTTCAGCTTGCTAATCCGGTGGGCTATGTCGATTACCTTGGTTCTCTGCCGGATCACCTCGTTTCTGATTCGATCTCGCAGAGAAACGCCGAGCATAGCCCTCTCCATAGCTCGCTGAGTGACTTTTAGCTTGTGAACCAGCCGCACCGTCAGTGTCCACGTTTCGGCTCCGTATGTCATGACAGGTAGGACGCACTGATTGAAGACTTTCGTCTTTAGGCACTGTGGGATCGACGACGTGAAGACTTGACGCAGCTTTCCATATGCTGCCCAACCTAGCTGAATTCTTCTATTCACCTCGTTCTCGAAGTTGTTTCTACCCATCTGCAATGTCTGCCCGAGGTATACATATTTTTGAACGACTTCGAGAACAGCGCCGTGTACTGCAATCGGTTCCGGTAGTACATGTTCATTGAACATGACCTTGGTTTTATCCAAGTTCATCCGTAGGCCGATGCGTATAGAAGAGTCAGCCAGGTCATTCAGCATCCGTTGTAGGTCCTGCAGCGTTTCTGCTACGATGACGATGTCGTCTGCAAATCGCAAGTGAGAGATGTACTCGCCATTTATGTTGATGCCGCGTCCTTTCCAGTTCAGCGTCTTGAACATATCCTCCATTGCATTTGTGAACAATTTCGGGGAGATAACATCCCCTTGTCTCACACCTCGATGCAACGGTAAAATTGTTATATAATTTAAAATATTTTACCATCATTTCATTCTGAAAAGGGCTGTATTTTTGACTATGCTTTCTCTGCCTGTCAGTCAATTACTAGTATCATAGAAAAGTTTCCATACATCGATATTTTCATCGTCTTTGACACCCTACAGGCATATAAATAAGTCTACCTAGATATTTAATAATGCAGTTTTGATATTATTTGGTGCTAAGCCACTGAACTTGATTTAAATTAAAGCATTTTATTGACATTCCTATAACAATATCGCAATGCAGATAAAAATACAAAAAAAATCTAGTTATACTTTTTTTCCTATTTTGTTTAGTGATTGGTCTTACACTGTTTGGCCAAGCTTAAGTTCAAATAACGATTTCTTTTATATTTTTATTATTAGTTTTAAAATAAATTGGTTTCAAAGCCAGATTGTGTTTTTATTCACCCCACATAGGCAAGGTAATAATATCTACAAGTATTTCAACTTCATAGAAACGGCCGAAACGCGAACTATACCTACGCGCCCGATGTCGGGACGCGCTCGGGACGCAGACAGACGCGGCTGTACCGCAGTGACGAACGGACGGTGTGTTGTCTTTTATTTAGAAATCAGCTCGAGTACATTATTTAATATGGCGAATAGGAAATATTGTTCTGTTATTATGTTTGGTTGCATGAATTCGTCAATAACGCATCCAGACATAAGTTTTTTTTAAATTACCTGGAAACTCTGAAAGGTAAGGTGGGTAGGTAAGACTATAAAATAATTTTACTTACTAGTAGCCTAGGTAGGTAAGTACATAATGTGTGTCTTTATGGATCATTATTTCCAGTTATCTCACGAAAACAGATGTTTGAATTTATAAATAATATGAATAAAGTTATTGAGACGAGTGAAATAGGTAGTTATAGGCGGTTCTGGTTCTGAATGAATCATGATACGTTAGGTACCTACCTACTTACGCTTGTGTTAAAACGGTTCATGTATGTTTTGTTAGTTTGTATAATTCAAAGTAGAGAGTGTGGTATTTTATTATTAATAATATTTTTTTTATTATCTGCGTTTATGAATAATACTAGAAAATATTTAATAACAACAATAAAACAGCTAGACTCATGTAATATTTTGATGTTTGAGGGTTGTGATTTTAGAACATTCGTAGTCAGCTGTTCAGTTCGGCATTAGTGGCCAAAGAAATTTAGTTTGTTTATTTTTAAAGCACTTTATTTGTTTATATATAAAAAAAGGATATTTACAATCACAAAACTAAATGGAAACAGAAAGTAGACAAAGGTAATTAAAATACTGGAGACGAGCAGCCCTAACGCATGTTTACGTACCGCGCGGCTGTAGGTATTTATTTCTTTCAAGCGGCCGAGTTACAATACTGTATGATATTTATACTGTGACATAGGTAATTTAAAATACGAAATGAAACATAAGACTTGCTGAGTTGTATACTTTTTATTACAGAAAATACATTCAACAATAAATAGCTTAGTAGCATATAAAATAAATTCACTTTATAAATTAAACAACATCATTTATATATATTTTATTTGTAATATAAAAAGAATCTTCAAAGGTTTATATACAACAATGCTGAATATAAAAATATATAAATGCACTAGTGGCCAGTGAATTTACAGCATAAAACAATAAATTATATCGTTTATTCTAATTTAATACAGTACGGCCGCCGCGCCGTATCTAGGCGAGTCTGAAGTTAGCCGTTTGTCTGCGCAATGGATCTTTTAGGAACAATATTGTGTACTGCGCAGCTAATCGACTAACTTCAGTCTCGCCAAGATACGTCGGCGGTATTGTACAAACATTTTGTGTGATCCACAAATTGTTAGTGTAGTGCATTCTTTTTTTCTCAGTTTATATGGGTTTATTTCACTGCCCACCAGTACCTACAAATTGATGTAACAAATAAATAATTCCTAATATTTTTATGTATTGCTTTTTTACCTTCAGGATCAAGGATCAATAAAGTCAGTTTTCTTAAGTTTAGTCAGCATAGTATTGTAGATCTGTAAAATAAAAATGATATTATAAAATATCTTGTTTGGATAGTATGCATTGCAAACGGCCAAGCAGGAAAATCTATTTAGAGTGCAAAAGTATTTATTAAGGTATTCGGCCATCAGACGTTTACAGCTGGGACCGAATAAGGCTGATATCCAGTCATAGTCGAGGTCAAAGCGCAAGGAATACCTAACAACCATCCATATTCAAAAACTTTATAGATATCACTGGTATCTGATATGTACTATTTTTTACTGATTACAGTAAATTATATCTATGAAATATCAATTGGATTGTAGACTTCGCCCGGTCTATCTATGGGGAAAACCTTTTTTTTCAAGCAAATGGCTTCACTAAGAGGACTGTCCGATAGACTGGTACTTTTTTAACTTAAAGCTTTGTTTGACGTTCAAAAGTGCCTGTAAGGGTCTAATTGAAATAAATTATTTTGACTTTGACTTTCCATTAAGATGTTGGTAAGTAGGTATGTTTTAGGCTCATAAACAATAGGTAAACTCAAAAAAAATTAGTATTAAGAACATTTTCGAAAGAGTTGAGTAAAAAGAGAAGCTGTTTGAGGTTCCATACAAACTTAAAGTTGCTTGTAAATTATCAAAAATGTTATTTACTAAGTTTAAAAATTAGGTATACATACATACTGCTTACTTATGAGTAGGTACTTAATTTCATTAAAATCGATGCAGTCGTTTCTGTGACTTTTTACAAACTTTTTTTCTGATCTAGTTGGTACTTGATCCTCTCAGTTCGGAAAAAATTTAGAATTTTTGATTTTGAAATCTGTAGTAGTATCTACCTAGGCGGACTTAATCTCTTCATCATTTAATCCTACTAGGTAATATTATGGTGTAAAACTCTATTAAGATGTATGTATGTTTGATAACCTGTATCACAAAAACTGCTGAATGGATTTGAATAAAGTTTGACTTAGCAATAAAATTATACCTATCTACACATGGGTTACTTTTTATCCCACGAACGCGAGCGAAGCCGTTATTAAAAGGTTGTGTATACGAACCTCCTCTTCGGAATTCTGGGCGGTTGAGGGGCCCGTCCCATTCGATATTCCAGTTACTTCATCTATGACTTGTATGTTTGCCGATGGTCCTTTCGCGACTTCTGAATGATAATATTACAAGATAAGGAATTTTATATTACAAAAATTCTATATAAGGACTCCCTTGACATGACTTTGGTTTTATTATTTAGTTAATCAATTTTTATTTTGTTTTTTAATGTCTGCCTTTTAATTTTTACTGTAAATTTTCATATATGCCTCCAGTTGGCTGATCATAGCGCACATATTTTATAATTCATTCTATCTATTACTGTGTAAACCTATGTAGGTATCAAACATAGGTAGGTAGGTAAGTAAAAAAAATCAGATTCTGATTCTGATTCTGAAAATATATCGTATAAATATATGTATAGGTATAATAATAATCTGTATAGGTACTATACAGATTATAAGGAGGCAGTCAATGACAAATAATTTATTTCAATTAGACCCTTACAGGCACTTTTGAACGTCAAACAAAGCTTTCAGATAAAAATGTCAGTCTGTCGGTCAGTTCTCTAGTGAAGCTATTTGCTTGTTCAGTGTAAATTCTGATGGAGAAGAACTCCTGACCATCAAGTAATCCGTCAGCTCGTTTGCTGACCAATGACATAAAAAAATAGTCTTGTTTTTTAAGATAATGGTATCGTGTGAACGAGACCTTACAATGGCGCTAATGACATAACTAGCGGTACATAAATAGGTATTATATACAATACTAGCTACTCCCGCGCGGTTTCACTCGCTGCTCGGGTCCATTTGATCGTAGCGTGATATTTTATAGCCTATAGAACTCAGGAATATTGTAGCTATCTATCAGTGAAAGAATTTTGACAATCCGACCAAAGGTTCCAAAGATTACCCCCTACATACAAACTTACAAATTTTACCTCTTTATAATATTAGTATAGATATTATGTATTATATCGTAAAATATATTTGTATAATTATAAAATCAAATTACCTTTTGGTTTCGTCGGAGCTTCTAGTTTTTCAGGCTGAAAGAAAAAGAAAAAATTTATTTTAAATACATATATGTTTTCACAAGTTGGTATGACGTAAGACGTTGGTATATTGTTTTTTTTAACCCAAGAGACTTAGGAAAATCTAAGGGATCCACGAAGAAAAAGTTACCTTAGCTAAATATGTATTAAATCACGTTTAACCTAAAACCTGTGGATTATTGCAGAATATTTAGCTACAATTATTTTACAATTTGGAAAAACTGGATAAAGAAGCTTATTTTGTAATACCTTTTTTCTATCGTACTTTAAGTTCTAAGGCTAATACATATATCAATGCACTACTAACACTATGGATTGAAAAGTCTTAAATAAATGCTTTGAATTGAGCAATTAAGTGTGGGAGAGCCATGCTTCGGCACGAATGGGTCGGCTCGATCGGAGTAATACCACGGCCTCACAGAAAACCGGTGTGAAACAACCACAGCGTTGTGTTTCGCCGTGTGAGTGAGGTTACCGGAGGCCCAATCCTTCCCCTTACCGGACCTTTCCCGAATCCCTAAATCTCCAAATCCCTAATCCCTAAAAGGTCGGCAACGCACTCGTAACTCCTCCGTTACGGGTGTCCATGGGCGGCGCTGATTGCTTACCATCAGGTAATCCGTCTGCTCGTTTGCCGACTTATTACATAAAAAAAACGCCCTCTTCTCACGCTTGCTCAAAGCGGATTGGCTATTTCAAACTTATAATTAGTAATTATAAGTCCTTATTTATAGACTAGACTACTAGTTTATACACTTACCATTTCGCTAACACTAGGTTTGTAATACTTGGAAGTCAGTTCCTTCTCGCTAGTACCGCTCATTATCTGCGACGCTGTTAACACATATATTAGGTATTAATGTTTAGCTATCACACAAATGTCTCCCCAATAGTACCTACACTATTAAGCTAGATCTTATAGTAATTAGATCCAATCACTTTTTTGTGGAGGGAAAAACATCAAATGACCTCTCTTGCCCAGGGAATGAGGGAAAAGGGAGCGAGACCCTGACTAAGAACCCTCCCGGTCCTTCTTATTCAAGCCGAGGCCACGGTACCTTATGACCCTTCTCCTGCTACCCCAGCTAAGCATCGGCTCCGTTGGGTCCTATCTGTGTCAATATTTCTCCACTATTATATGGATGTTAGTATAAGTACCTACATATTAAACTCCCTCCTGAATCACCCTATCTATTTAAAACCGCATCAGAATCCGTCGCGTAGTTTAAAGATTTAAGCTTACATAGCAAAGGATATAGGGACAGAGAAAGCGACTTTGTTATATACTACGTATTTAATGACTACGCGTCAATCGCGCAAAGCTGCTCGATAATGACTATAAGCCTCGGTGTGGCTTGAAAACAATCGACCTACCTCGTAAAGCAATGACGAGAGTAAACCATTATTATAATGTCTCTAGAAAGGTATAATTGATAATATATAGGTACTTACAGAGCTGCTTGCCCCAAACGGACTCTCGATAGTTGACTCTCCTGCCGGCTCGGCGCCGCTTACTGCGCCCTCTGCGCGACACTACTGCCTTCGACTCCGCTGAGATGCGTCTCGCCACGCGGTGGTAGAGGCACCGAGATGATACATTTGATATCTGAATCATAATAAAGGCCTATAAGTGCCCATGTGTCCAAAAGGATTGCGGATCAATAACCACGCTCCCTCGAGGCGATATTTTTATATGACAGGTCTGCAAACGAGCTGACGGATTACCTGACGGTAAGCAATCTTCGCCGCCTTTAGGGGGAGGGAAAAGATTGATAAATATTTTATTTTCAAGGAATTCACCAGGTGGACGTGATATTTTGTTGATGTCTGGCCCATCCATCATCATCCCATCATCTGTGTGTTCTGCGCGAAAATAAATGGTTTTTCTTTCTTTCTTTCTATCTAGCCAGGCCACCAACATTGTATGAACGCGACATCCTAATGTTCACTGTGATCCTACTGTACGCCGACCAACCAAGCAATTACAGCAATATTCTCTGATTCCTGTGGCCACAAATATTATTTTCAATTGTTATACATACAAAATATTGCTTCCTGGTTACGTGGCTTGACTAAATTTTATTAGAGTTGTCACGCCAGCCAGTGCCTCTAATATTATATTCAGAGGAATCAATATGTTCGCTGGAAACTTAATTTCTGTACCCCGTGGAAACGTACATTCTCGCCATAATGTGAACGAGTTTATCCTATCTGGTGCGTTACAGTGCTAAAAGAATTAAATCTCTATATTAGAGGATTGGGAAGTATAAAACATTATTGCGATCAGCATTAATAATTTGAAATTGTGAGTTTCGCTTATTCATATTAAAATTTAAGACAGTCAAACTCTGACCTTAGAGTGATGCTTAGTTATCCATCTTTCCCCTATGCTAATCTGACGCGCTAGAGTAACTACAGAAATCCCTTCACGGGCTCCCCTACTATTAATAAGTTGCCCATAAAGTCCGATAAACTAATGAAGTAGTAGCACAAGAATTACTTTATGTATTCAAATTTATCTGATAAGTGATAATAGACGCTACGTGGACTCTATTATTCATTCATTATTAACACATTCAGTGCCACCGACGCGTATGTGCGTTTCCTCGCACGCACATACGCGTCGGGGGCACTGAATGTGTTAATAAGAAATATTTATTTTTATTTATATCAAAGTCAAACACACCCCATGTGATGTTAATTATCTCAAAATAACTTGTAATATAACAGGGTGATTCTCCAAAAAACCTTAACTTTTATTTAACAAGTCATTATCCTCCCAGGTTTTTAAGCATCTTAGTAATTTATTTTATACAATATTTTTAATGGGTTGCTTGTAAGCAGTGGTGAGATTTAATTTAATAAAATAATAAATCTGTGTTTTAATCAGCAGACTCGTTAATTTTCGGTTGAGGATAATGACATTATTATTTTTTTTTTAATTGATGTGAAGAATCACCCAACAACTAGCATCGACACAAGTTTATTTTTAAATTATCATTTTCAAGTATATCTGTGGGCCGATCCCGGCGGCACTGCAATGCCGAGCCGACCCGTGACGGGAGTGGAGCGAGCCCCGAACATCCCGTCAGTTTCCAAAAATCAGTTTAATATACTGGTCCCTCAGTGAGGGAACTTTCAGATATTAAGCTGAAAAGAACAGATACTACACTTTGATCTTAGCCAAAAGGCCGAGAAGCGATGCCGTATGAAAGAGTACCGGGGAGGGTCATTCAATCGCGGAGAATCTTAACACCGCGATTCAGGAATGTGACGTCATTGCACAGTGACATCTGTTGGTGTTTTGGGAGAACTAAACGTCTGTGTCCAACTTCACACTAGATAGCTTGGAATGTGACGCGCGACTATTCAAACAGTGATAATTAAGATTCGATTTGTATTTAATAATAAAAATAAATATTCAATATCAAAGACTTGGCCACGTGTTATCAACAATAATCAAGTTCTCACTGATTAAGGGCACACACATAATATAGTAAAAGTTGCCTATGTAACTGATATCCGAACGGATATTTAATAAGATACCGAAGCACATAAAAATATTTAATCTGCACGGGTTATTTAAAAATAAATTGTTCGCATGGTTAAATATGAATAATTAATATTGTCCTAAAGATTTTATATACAAACTATCGGCCCTCCCCCGCTTCGCACGGGTCTAACTATCTCGCTATCATAGAGTCTCTTTTTCTAATCTTCCCCTCTACTTTTCTAATATTTTCTTTTATAAGAACCTTCTCCTGACAATAACAATCAAAACAAAAAAAGAATTAGCAAAATTGGTCCAGGCGTTGTTGAGTTTTGCGCTTACCAACACATTTTGCGATCCATTTTTATATATAAGATAATTTTAATATAGGTAATAATTATAAGTACTATTCAGCTAGAACATGTTTGTAGTAATAATTAATGGTTTTATTATATACATATAATTAACACCATATATGTATATTATGTTTTATGGAATTAAATATTTATTATTATTAATTATATATTTTTATATATGTGTAATTTGTATTCATAAATATTTGTATTCAAGTAACATTTTCAAATTAGACAAACAAAATAAATATTACACACCCACATTTTATTAAAATAAATAATTTTACTGCCATAATGGTTGAATAATCTTAAGTATGACTTCTGAACTAAAATACTTTTGTACTATTAAAGTTTTCCCCGTATAGTTTAGTTTAGGTCGACTTGTAACAAAATGTCCTAAGTGTCGGGAGAGCCAAGCTTCGGCACGAATGGGTCGACTCGACCGGAGTGATACCACGGCCTCACAGAAAGTTGTTTCGCCGTGTGAGCAAGGTTACAGGGGGCCCAATCCATCCCCTCCTCCAATCCTCAATCCCCAAAAAGTTGGTAACGCGCTCGTAACTCCTCTGTTGCCCATGGGCGGCGCTGATTGCTTACCATCAGGTAACCCGGATGTTCGTTTACTGAATCTTTCTCTTAAAAAAACCCTTACCAGTTCGCACTGAAGGTCATCGACCTCATCCTCCAAAATGTCCAGTTCGTCCGTGTCTTTAGCGGGAACTATGAGTAACTTGGTCTCGGGACAGCTACCAGACACTATCAGCTGCGAGGACTTCGGAAATATTAACCGGTGGGCGGTCCTGGAAATTGCAATTTATAATTTTTTAAGGGAGGCTAACAATTACAATTCAACATTTTCCGTAGTGTTTGGTGTACAGTCTCTTCTGTGCCTTTGAGGCCTATGTCATTCTGTCTCATCATGTCATTTAGTTTTTCTTGTCCTCAAATAAATTATATCATCTGATTTATTTCGTTCGGATCCAAGACAGTCATTCATGTCCCTGGCACGCGCCGGACTTCAGTGTTCCGGTGTTTTCATGGTTGTGTCTACTGCAGATCCTGGCTTACAGGAGTTGCAGCGGTATTTGGGAGGTTGCGGAGGGATAGTGCCATAAAAAAGAGAGGATAATCATCAAATAACTTTTTTCACCCTTGGTGGGGAGTGAGGGTGGGTCAGACTCTTACTGACTAAAAATCGTCCCGTTCCTTCTCCTGCTCTAGACCGAGGCTGCGGTACCTTATTAATGTAAAGATTATGCCTTCAACATCGACAACCTTGGCAGTTCATGCTGGTCAAAAGGAGGTCTTCTTCGTAAGTTGGGATTGCCATAATAATTGGTTAATGTCCAAGGTGAAAAATTAATTATTTTTATTTTATTTTATTTTTTTTATTTATATATTTGGGACAAAAACAGTTATACATTGCAGAATTAACAATAAAGTAGTGACATTACAGTTGTAATAACGTATAACCCACACCATTGTCCACGTAATAACATATGAGTATAAGAGCGAACGCATGTTAAGAAAGATATAATTTAAATTGGAATATTAGTTAACACTTACGGACAGATCGAGGGGAGCAAGAGTCGGAGAGTAGGTACTTATGTACGACTTGAAATTGTGAGACAACTCTTTTAAATTTAGGTTGGGACAGCGAAAAAATATCGAAGTCAATAAATTGTGAGTTATAAGTTTCTAAGAGTCGGCGGATAGGGGCCCGTACCCCGGGGCCTTAGTTCTGCACCGAGGGGTGTAGAATAGCCGAGGCGCGCGCACCTCCCGCCGAATAGCAGTTCTAGGTACTACATAACATAGTCTATTAGACATCTCAGTACAGTTAAATTTATTATTGCATATGCCGTGTAGCATCATAACCATAATCAATAAACGCCTAGAATCCAAGCTCAACATCTTATAATGCCTTAAAAAATCTGCATAGGGAATCCTTACATGGAAGTACTTATAGTGCATGGCATGAAGGAATTTTTTCTGTACCTTTTATATAGCATGCTTATATTTTTCATAATACGGGGACCAGATGGGTACCGCGTATTCTAACTGTGAACGGACCAGTGTTTTATATAGAAAAAGAAGAGTAGAAGGGTTTTTGAAATCCTTACTAGACCGCCTGACAAAACCATACATCTGAAAAGCTTTGCTAACTATCTTGTCAATGTGAGTGTCGAGATGCAACTTGCAATCAAGAAGTACGTTTTAATACCATGATTATAATTTTTTATTTAGTATACCTTTAATTCTCCATTCCAATCCACCTTTAGATGACACGGTATGATAGCAAGGGGGACAAATAAATTTTACTTAGCTGCAACTTTTTTTATATTATTTCTAATTAATCATGAATTTTTACTCACACAATCATTTCTGTAGCTTCTATAAAAAAACTTTCTAGACTACCTAGGTACCTCATACCTGGGTATGTAGGCGGGTGGCTGGAACACCTCCCTGGTGGCCATATCCTGGCAGATACCGTCCAGCAGCACGATGTCTTCCATCAGCTCGTTCACCACGAAAACCTGTAAGTACAGATATTTTTCGGTTCGGATATTTAGTTATATCGGATATCCGATAGTTTCGGTTACGGTAACGGAGCTCCCTAACACCTCTGATTTAATTTTATCGATATACATTATCCACATAAATATCGATTTTATATCCACAAAATATATTTTTATCCATAAAATTAATACATCGTTAAAGCTAAAAGTCTTTGAATCTTAAATGTTATGTTTCACTCATAAAAAGGTTTGGTATTTCAAAAATAAACCTTTTAATTTTGCAATACCATTTTTATGGGTTCTGTTTTCTTTAAACAGTAGCTTCCGCCCGCGGCTTCGCCTGCGTGGTATGTTGATAAAAATAAGCCTATGTCCTATTCCAGAATGTAACTTATGCCTGTGCCAAATTTCATCCAGAGCCGTCCAGCCGTTTCGGCGTTATTGAGTTACAAACATCCAGACATCGTAACTTTCGCATTTATAATACCTATTTATAGTAAGATACGCCATCTTACTTTAAAAGCTCTAAGACAGGGTACGAAGGCATGTTCCAGCCTCATGCTGAGTCGCTCCACTGGCCAGCCGTGGTAGGCCGGCACCGTGGGAAGCACCATCATGCTTAACTTGATGCCTATCTCACGCCACATCGATGCTTCCAGACTGAAAAGGAAAATATCATCTTTTTTTTAACTGATAGGTCTACAGGCTAGCAGAAGGATTACCTGATGGTAAGCAATCCGCGGTGTCCATGGATGAGCTGCTGCAGGTCATTGCCGGTCTTTTAGGGATTAGAGTTTCTGGGATGGAGGAGAGGGATTGGGTTCACGGTAACTGCAATCATATGGCGAAATTCAAATTCGATTTCGAATTCTTTGAAGCCGGCGTGAATCTGCCACGCTTCATTCTTCATTTCTAAATCATTTCACAGAACACTAGTGTGAAACTACGCTTAAGTTGTCTTTTGCCGTGTGAGTGAGGTTACCAGAGGACAAAACCTCCCCATCCTCCAACCCTAAACCCCAAAACTCGATTAACCTAACAAATGTAAAAAAGTGTGGGAGTGCCAAGTTTCGGCATAAAAGGGTCGGCTCGACCGGAGTGACACCACGGCCTCATAGAAAACCAGCGAGAAACAACCACAGCGTTGTGTTTCGCCGTGTGAGTGAGGTTACTGGAGGCCCAATCCCTCCCCCTTCCAACATCCCTTCCTATATACCCTTATCCTTAAAAGTCCGGCAGCGCACTCGTAACTCCTTAGGTCTTGCGAGAGTCCATGGGCGGCGATTGCTTACCTTCAGGCATTCCATCTGCTCGTATGCCGTTCTATAACATAAAATAAAGGAATTTCACTCCAAACACCTTAGGAATAAGGGTGAAAATCACTTACCCCATGATGGGGTGAGGAGCAAGGTTGAAAGCTTCTTTAACGATAGGCATAGTAATGTAGTACGCTTGCACCGCGGAGTCACACCGCACCGTGTAGCTATACGGACGGTTTGTTAGCACCTGTAATGTAAGGCCGGATTTATACCGAAGCTTATCAAAATAATTGTTGATTTGTGGAAATGCGTAGTCTCCTAACGGGGGATTATTTTATTTACCTAAAAGAATTAATACGGTAGTTTTCGAACTAGTCAAATTCAATACTTTTATGCAAATGACAAAAACGATACTGTAGCGGCACTATCACGTCGCTACATTACTTAGATACGATAGAGATAAGACATACATGTTAATTGTTGCACGTTTGTTAGGATAGCTAAATCTGAAAATCTCACGCATCTTCTTAGTATATAAGCACCAGCAATTAAAGTAATAAACAGACCTTAACCATCTACAGTCTCATTATTTACCTTGCCACGAAGTCTGGCAAATTGGTGACCCGACGAAGAACAATCAACATGACTCATTCACCCTGCAAATCAAGCAGCAGCCAACAAGAAGCCTTGGAGATATCAGCCGGAATTTTGGAGGGACCAACCCAGATTATGGTTTAAGCAACTAGAAGCCATAGTAGCACCACAGAAGCAAGGAGACGATTACAAGTACTATACGGTCATTGCAAAACTGCCAAAAGAAGAAATAATACAGGTTAGTGACCTCATTACTTGCCCACCGCCAATAGAAAAGTACAAGGCTATCAAAGAACGCCTAATCAGTTGCTATGAGGAATCAGACCAACGTCAGCTCCAAAAATTATTGTCTGAAATGGATCTCGGCGACCAGAAACCATCACATCTTCTGCGCAAGATGCGGACCCTGAGTAACGGAAATATCAGCGACGAAACCATCAAACTTCTATGGTTGAGGCTTCTGCCACCATCAGTGACTTCGGTTCTAGCAGTCACAGAAGACATAGATGTGAACAAGATGAGCCAGATCGCGGACAAGATATTAATAAATTCAACACGTACAGAGGTGTCAGCTGTAAACGGAAACAAATCTGGCGACGATACAATGTCATGCATACTAGCACAGTTAGCAGAAATGCAATTGGAACTAAATGCAATTCAGCAAGGTCAAAAAAACTATCGACGCAGCACTCAAAGTTATTCCAATCGTCGGCATTTCCTACCACAGTCGAGTTCAAGAGAAAGAAGGCACTTTTGTTTTTACCATGGAAGATTTAAAAAATATGCACAAAAGTGTGTTCAACCTTGTGATTGGAAACAGGATCTCAACTCAAGGAAACAGGGAAACTAATTGAAGCACGGACAACGGCGGAACTCTGTGCTATTCACCCGTCCAACCGCCTCACTATTACCGACCGAAAAAGTGGTATGAGATTTTTGATTGACACGGGAGCAAATATTTCAGTTATTAGCAAGCCACAGAGACATTCACTAATACAAGATGAACAATGTATACTTTATGCCGCCAATGGTACAAAAATTAAGACATATGGTGAAAAAACACTCTCTTTAAACTTCGGGCTACGAAGAAACTTTGTATGGAACTTTGTCATCGCCGATGTAACACAACCGATTATTGGAGCAGATTTTTTAGAGCATTATAAGCTATTAGTCGATATAGCTGGTCGAAAACTCATAGATAGGGTAACTGAGCTGACAACGCCCGCAACCCTGATCAAATCGACGCAGCAAACAATCCGCACTATTAACATTGAGACGAATCCACGCATTACTCAACTATTAAATGAATACGAGGATATTACGAAACCAGCCTCCCTCCACACTACTCCAAAACACAAGATTAAGCATCATATTATCACTAAAGGACCACCGGTATCAGCACGTGCAAGACCGATTAAAACCTGCATTTGTCTTCAATAGTGGAACGAACGTGCCAAATTCAGAAAATAATCACAACGGGCGGAACACGTACATCACGAAGTCAGGACGGGCGGTTAAGCCGACAGTACGATTCGTCACTTGCTGACACAAGTAAAAGTGGATAGTTCATCGACTGCCGCCGCCGTCACAACAAAGGCAGCAGTTTTTATTTCCTTCGAATTAGCAACAATGACATTACATTACGCATAGGATGTAATTTATCAGCAAGGTTAAGTTATTATATAATTAGGTACATACTAATTTTTTTCAATTTATATGTTAATTATTTTTAAAAGGGGGGAGTATATGTAGCGGCACTATCACGTCGCTACATTACTTAGATACGATAGAGATAAGACATACATGTTAATTGTTGCACGTTTGTTAGGATAGCTAAATCTGAAAATCTCACGCATCTTCTTAGTATATAAGCACCAGCAATTAAAGTAATAAACAGACCTTAACCATCTACAGTCTCATTATTTACCTTGCCACGAAGTCTGGCAAAGATACTTTTCTTTGTACTACAAATTATGACGTCATAATATTATTGCGTCAAATAGCATACTTATTCCTTGAAAATAAGCTTAAAAAAATCTAAAACTTAGTGTATCGATCGATGAATAAAACTATAAAGTAGTTTATATTCAATTAATTTATTTTCGACTTAGGAAAATATCCAATTGTTTAAAAATATGGCTTGAAATAATAGTATTTTTTTGTGTACTTATGTAAAAATAAGTACAACCCTTATATGTAGACACCATCATTGTGCACATTTGTTCCTCATGTGTGCATTACAATGTAAAAAAATACATCTTCTTATAAATAAAACTCTCGTGTCACAGTTTTCATCGCCATTCCTCCGAAAGTCTTGACAGATTTTGATGATTTTTTTTGTGCTTATCCCGTATCTATGAGAATCGGCCAATATCTATTTTTGATTTTTAAATGTTAGGAGTAGACCGATCCAAAATTTTTTTTCAGTCATTTAATCATTTTTTTTATGATGCAACTTAAAGAATTCAATTTTCACCCTTCTACGTTCAACCCTTATTTTTTAATAGCCAAAAACGGGTCAGCCAGTATTGTTTATAAATATTGCGCTTCGCTTGTCAACGTGTAAAGTCTATTCTAGAACTTTCGCCAATTGAATAAAACTTACCCCAAGAACCCCAACAGCGTTCCCAGACACAATATAATCCTGGCTCGGCTCTCCAAACTTGAGGTCTGTGATAAACTCGTAGTTAGGTATGGCCTCGTCCAGGCCATCGTCGGGCGGCACGTACGTCGCTTCGAGCAGACCAGACACTAGGATATACAGACCTTTGGGCTCGTCTCCTGTGAAACATGTCATGTATACATAATTTATGTCAGTAAAACAACAGAATAGTATGTTTTTTTTATGGAACAAGTTGGCAAACGAGCAGACCGATTACCTGATGGTAAGCAATCGGCGCCGCCCATGGCAACAACGGAGTTCCGGATCCGATTTTTAAAGATTGGGAAGGAATGTGGAGAGGGAGAGGGATTGGACCTCCGGTAACCTCACTTACAAGCGAAACACAACGCTGTGGTTGTTTCACGCCGGTTTTCTGTGAGGCCGTGGTATCACTGCGGCCGAGCCGACTCATTCGTGCTGAAGGATGGCTTTTCCACACTTTGTTGAAATTGTTTTTAACTCTCAAAGGCGAATGAAAACGATAATAAGTATAATTTTATTAACCTCTGGATATCAATATATCGTTGATATTGAAGTTGAGTATATCAGAATGTTCTAGGAAGAAGTCCGCTATCCGCTCGTTGCCCTGCAGCCAAGATACAGCGCGGAGTTGAGTCTGTAAATAATATAATTTTATATTAATACTACAACTGACTTCTCCTGGCCAGGGCAAGGCGAAAAAGCCTGTCAGTCTCTTACTGACTAAAAAACCCCCTGTTCCTTCTCCTGCTCTAGGTCGAGGTCGCGGTGCCTCATTGCGCTTACCCCGCAACCCTGGCTGAACATCAGCCCTATAGGGCCCCGTCTGTGGTGGTCTATTGGCTCTTTGAGGCGCGCGCGGAACGCTGCGCGCCATGCGCTCGGGTCTGGTTCTGGTAGGGCGGCGAGCTAACCTTACTCGCTGTTCGCAGACCATATGTATTTTAAAAATGGCTGGATCGATTTGGTTGAAATATGTTATGTAATTAAGTAGGCTTTGGATTAACACATACATACACTGCTTTTTAACAATATACCAAGCGGGCGAAAACTAATATAATCATAGTTTTATTTCAATGAATATCGTCATATAAAAATTCTTGATGAAAACTCACCTCAGGCGACGAGGGCGCCACCAAGCTACCTTTGTGACGACAAAACTGTATTTTCTCTCGAATCGCAGTAAGCAGTAATCTGTATTCCATTTCATCCAAAAAACCTGTTGAAGTACATTATTTTTGAGACTTAAACTTTTTTTAAACACGGGAGAACCATGTTTCCTCCTTATGTTGGCTCCATGGGGATGGGAAATAGAAACTGACAAAAAATGCATGAGACTACCAAAATTTTGTCTGCTCCCCCATCCTCTGGGATCCTCTGTCCACCATCTCCAAAGACCCTGGGCAGCGCTGACTGCCTACCATCAGGGGACCCGTTTGGTCGTTTGCCAACCTATTCTATAAGAGACTCCTAATGTCTACAAGCGAAGACCTCATTACAGCGCTATGGCATAAACCAGTAATACTCCTAAGAAATGATCTTCAGATCTTCACCCACCTTCCTCCTTAAGCTGCATAGCATCCAGGATCATGATGTTTAGGGTGGAGGTCGTTGCCTGTTTCGTCTTCACCGTGATGGCTGTCCAGGGCCTGTCTCTCTGCAGTAAACCTAGCTGACGGGTCACTACCAACCTGGAAACAGAAACCTGTTGGATGACCTGGACGAAAAGTAAAGCTACAAAAAATTTATGGTACCTGTAGTTATTAAAAGATGGAAACTTTCCAGAAGTCATTAGTCGATTTTTCCGCCTCAAAAGAAAAAGCTAACAACAGATGTGAGGTAGGTTATCGGAGGCCCAATCCTTCCCATCCCCCGATCCCTCCCAATCCCTAAATCTCCAAAACCCTAATTCCTAAAAGGTCGGCAACGCACTCGTAACTCCTCCATTGCGGGTGTCCATGGGCGGCGCTGATTACTTACCATTAGGTAATCCGTCTGCTCGTTTGCCGACCTATTCTATAATAAAAAGATGGAGTCCACTAGGAGTAATTTCAGAGTCTCGAAGTAGAAGGAACGGGATGGTTTTTAGTCAGTAAGTCTGACACTCCCTCTCGTCCCAGTCAAGGCCAGAGAAGTCTCTAGATGATTTCCTTCCCTCAAAGAAAAAGGGCACAACAGATGGAATGTTGTAGGGGTCAGCTCATCAGACTCCTGGAGTAGAAAGAACGGGAGGTTTTAAGTCTATAAAAGTCTGAAACTCCCTTTGGCCTTATCTAAAATCCTTTACTTTTACATTCTCCAGTCAAAAATTTAGTTATAAGTTAAATTGCTGTGCCCTAACAGGGTAATGTACTGTTCTGGTTGTAATTCAAGAAAAAAAACTCTGCAGTAATGAAATTACCTATTTCAGCTCTATCTAGTATTGAGAATACCTGTCATTATCCAGCTGTGCAGTAAGCGTATCTCGTATATGTTTATTGTCAACCAGCTGAGGCAGTAGCGAGCATACTTCTTGGGCGCCCGTCACAAAACCCTTTTAAAATGACAAACATTTATTCCAAATAACTAATTTCAAATACTCATTTAAAGTACAGGTACTTTTGAAACTCACCAAAATCTTAGTAATCTTACTAATTACTAATATTATAAATGCGAAAGTTACGATGTTTGGATGTTTGTTACTCAATCACGCCAAAACGGGTGGATGGATCAAGATGAAATTTGGCATAGGACAAAGGCTACTTTTATCAACATACCACGCGGGCGAAACCGCTGGTGGAAGTTAGTAGGATAATATCCGTCAGTCTGTTCTTCAGTGAAGCTAAATGCTCGTTCCAGAGTTCCAAAGGTCATCTTTATAATTGAACACCTGTTCAATATTATTTACCGACTTAAAAGGAGTATTTAAGTACTATATTTTAAGCCGTGGTTGTGGGTGTAAGCGTCATAGTATACCGCGGCCTAGGCCTGAAGCAGGAGAAGGAATGGTATGGTTTTTAGTCAGTAAGAGTCTGACACTCCCTCTCGCTCGTAGGAGAACTCGTACTCCCAATCCAGGCCTAATATACCCCTAGATGCAAATAATTAAATAATAAGATCTTTAGTGATATTCAAGTTTTTACAATTACCTTTCCGACATCATATCCAAAAGCTAGTTGTATGTCGATCATACGGTCTATGTACGCCATTATTTTTGGCACTGACACCCTGAAATAACAACAATATTACACTGGAAATAGAATGTCCAAGACATGGTTCCCGGATAAGGAAAAGTCATTGGGCATTTCGGTCCTGTACAAATCATCGAAATATTTGTGAACGCATTACACTTAAATGGCTTCACCGAAATAGGCCAATTATCTGTTAATATGTTCCTTCTTTTAAGGATAAAGTTTGCACTAGAAAAAAAGTTTTACTAATTCACCAGGTGTGATGTATTTAAATGATTCGTGGAAGTTTTGATCGATAAGAAATTTTTGCCATTTTTCGGCACGAATGGGCCAGCTCCCCGGAGTGGTACCACGGCCTCACAGAATACCGGTGTGAAACAACAAAAGCTTTGTGTTTCATCCTCATCTCCGATCCCCAAAAGACCAGCAATGCAGTCACAATTCCTCTGATGTTAGGTCCATAGACGGAACTGATTGCTTACCATCAGGTGCGCACTCTACTCGTTTGCTGAAATATCTCATCAAAAACCCTTCTAACCAACAATGACTGCACGGTTGGTGCGTTAGTTGGCCAACTGGCTGCCGTGCAACGTGTCGCTGGACCGATTCCGGAACGGAACAACTCTTTGTGTGATCCACAAATTGTTGTTCGGTGTCTGGGTGTCATGTGTATGTGAAATTGTATGTCTGTTGGTTGGTTTGGTTGCAACCGCACCCACGACACAGGAGAAAATCCTAGTGAGGGGAAAAGTTTTTTTTTTCAATAAGAAACATAACTATGTTACTTAATAAACTTCAAAGTATTAGGCTGGTGGGGTAGTAACATACCTGGCCAGCTTACAGAGACGCAAAAATCTGAGCATCCTCAACAACTTGGTTGCTGTTATGAAGCTGGAGTTAAAGTTGCTCCATTTGTCCCATGTCGTTAGTGCATCTAGCACGTCCAGGACTAAGTCTGAAATAGAAAGACCTTGACTATAGGAGCGCCATGTTTTGGCACGAGTAGGTCGGCTCGGCCGGAGTATTATACATTATAGCTTATACACCCACAACCAAGGCCTCACAGAAAAGCCGGCATGAAACAACCACAGCGATGTGTTTCGTCCTGCGAGTAAAATAACCTGAGGCCTAGTTCTCCCTTCCCCCGATCCACAATCCCCATTTCATATCAATAACAGCCTTAAGTATGATTACCAACTTCGTTCAAGATATACCTTTGTTTGATTGTGGACGAGATCCAGCTATTAGTGATGTTGATACACAGCATTAGGGTATGATAACAAATAAAATTGAACTCACCGCTGGTGGCCATAACGATGATGAAGAAGTCCAGCTTATTCCAGTGCGACTTGAAGTAACCACAGAATCCGAAAGCGCACATTTTGATGATCATCTCCAACACGTAGACAATGTAAAAGAATCTAGAAGTTTGTAATGATATTCAAAACACAGAAGACCGGCGTGAAACAAGCTGACAACCCCGGCAACCCATGTTCAGCCGGGGTTGCGGGGTAAGCGCAATGAGGCACCGCGACCTCGGCACAGAGCAAGAGAAGGAACGGGGGGTTTTTAGTCAGTAAGAGTCTGACACTCCCTCCCGCCCGGCCCTGGGCGGGAGAAGTCATTTGATGATTTTCCCCTCACAAAAAAAAAAGAAACCCGGCAACCCAACTGATGTTACCGGAGGCCCAATTCTTACCCTCTCTCTGTCCCTCCACAATCCTTAAGTTTCCAAATCCCCAACACCCGGTTAAAAAAAAGGTCGGCAACGCCCTCGTAATTGCTCTGTGTTTGTCAATGAGCGGCGCTGATTACTGACCATCAGGTTATCCGTCTGCTTGTACGACGAACAATCACAATAAAAAAAACCAAGAAGTAGTTGAAAGAATATGATAGACAAATACCCACAAGAGGCAAAGCACTTCCCACATAGCAAGCATTACCAGGTTAAATTGGAAGAAGGTAGCCACAAATAACGCACTCGAACGAGTGGTTCTTTCTTTAACGGACCCAAGCAGATACTTCCATATTAAACATTTTAAAAAGAGATAGGTACCTTTATTATCCTTATAGGAATCAGGCAAAAAACGTCGTCTTTCGACCAATTCACTGTTCTATAATTTCCTAAGAGGTGATTTTTCAATGGTTAGATAAAAGTTACCTGGGGAATAATTATGATGCTGTCGCGTCAGAATGTTTGTATAAGACAGTGACAGCAACAATGTTATTCTTCAGATAACATTTACCTGACTATTGAAAAATCGGCCCTAATGAAAATAAACTTACAGATTAAGAGATTTGATAGTCATCATGGCGGTTGCCGTTACGGGTGTAGGCATGGCCACCTCGCACAGTATAACGGGGGTGTTGCACAGGATCATGAAGTATATGAACCCGTCGAACCACACGTTTGAGACCACCCTGTAGAATGCAATGAAATTAATTCTATTTACATATATCCAATCCCTACATAGTGTAAAACAAAGTCGCTTTCTCTGTCCCTATACCCTTACGAGTATGTATGCTTAAATCTTTAAAACTACGCAACGGAAGTTGATGCGGTTTTTTAATACATATAGTGATTCAAGAGGAATGTTTATAATAATATTGTTACGTGCCTGACGTCACGTTCTTGACTGTGCGGGCTTGGGTTACGGGATTGGATGAAATGAAACACTAATACCGGTTTTCAGACTTTCTATTGCACTTAAGTTACAGCGTCCACGGAGTTAAGTTATCGGCGTTCCTCTCCAACAGAGTCCGGCCGACTGACACAACTTTGCCGTTCACGCTGACTTAACCCACTTAACTGACTGCACTTCACTATTTCACTCACTTCACTATTTCACTCACTTTTCTTCTTTTTCACTTCTTCCTTTTCTTCCGAATCGCTTTAGACTTAGAACTCAACTGCCAGCGGTGAGCCGCAGTTCCGCTTATATACCCCCGGTTCAGGTTCTGGAACATTCAATTTCGTTATTCTTTTTGATCGTCATGACTCCAGAACCTTCCAATAATTTCGTTACTCATTTTTATTTATTCTCCTTCTTGCTCTTTAATTTTTCATTTCTTTCACACAAATAATTCCAGAAAGTTCCACAAAACTTCTATCAACTAAAAAACTACATGTTTACGGCGGGACTCGAACTCGGGGTCTCTGTGGTGTAATCCACACGCCTTACCGATTACACCAACTCGTGTTGACAATTCACGACGAAATTTACAATCTCTAGACAACATTTGACAACCATCCATTGACGTCATGATGTCAAAGAGTTTGAACCACTTTTCCGTCACACTGCCCCCCTCTTAGATTCGCTCGTCCCGAGCATCGTTGCTGCCGTAATACCTCGCCAACCTGTCTATATGGACAACTTTCAAAGGGCTTCTTGAAGTCTTCCGAATTCTGTAAGTAATGTCATTGATCTTCGTGACTATCTCATAAGGACCTTCCCAACTCAGTTGCAGCTTCGGAGATTTTCCCTTCCTTCTGACTGGATTATGAAGCCAGACCAATGACCCCTCTTCAAACCCAACAGAATTGGCTCGTCGATCATAGCGCGTCTTTGCGCGATCACTAGCTTGAAAACCGGCCTCCCTGATCTGCTCATAAATGTCCAACATTTTTGCCCTTAACTCGCTTATGTAATCACTAAACTCGGTGCGAGAGTCGCCAGGTGGACATCCCGATACAAGATCTGCCGGTAATCTCAATTCCCTTCCAAAATTTGCAAATGCAGGCGTCTTTGCGGTACTTTCATGTACAGCAGTCCGATAGGCAAGCAAGAAGAGAGGTATGTAAGTGTCCCAATCTCTCTGATGGCTGTCAACCACCTTTGCTAAGTGTCGCTCCAATGTTTGGTTGAAGCGTTCGACCATTCCATCTGACTGTGGATGATAAGGGGTCGTTCGAGTCTTATGGATTCCCAAAAGTTTACAAGTTTCCTGAAAAACTTGGGATTCAAAGTTCCGTCCTTGATCACTGTGCATCTCCAAGGGTACTCCAAATCGGGTGAATACTTCGTTTACCAACTTCGTCGCTACAGTTACTGCCTCTTGATTCGGTATGGCAAAGACCTCCGGCCATTTTGTAAAATAATCCATAACCACTAAAACGTAGCGATTGCCCGAATCAGTGATTGGAAATGGTCCAGCGATGTCTAAGGCTATTCTCTCCCAAGGCATACCAACATTGTAGATTTTCATCGCCCCCCTGCTCCTTGTTTGTGGACCCTTGACAGCTGCACAACTAGTGCATTTCCGGCACCAATCTTCGACGTCATATTTGCAATGCAACCAATAAAACCTCTCCTTGATCTTCACCAAAGTCCTCCTAATTCCCAAATGTCCTCCAGAAGATCCATCATGGAACGCTTTTAATACATCCCTTATTTTTGAACGAGGCACCACCAATTGCAAATGCTCGTCCTTGCCGTTTGTTGATTCCCATTTCCTGCACAGAAGTCCGTTATGCAGCGTAAGGCTTTTCCACTGTGCCCATAAACCTTTCGTTACCGCGCTATATTGGGCGACGTCACTCCAACTTGGCTTGTTACCACTTCGTAGCCACTCCAGTATTGGTTTAATATCTGCATCTCTTTCCTGTTCTAATTTCATCGCATCATTTCCCCATGCCTCGTCAACAGTATCAGTCCTTATCACCTTAAGAAAAGCAGTTTCCTTCTTAGCACAATGTTTGCAATCTTCCACGCATGGGCGTCTCGATAATGCATCTGCGTTGCCATGAATTCTTCCGCCGCGATGTTCGATTTCAAAGTCAAATTCCTGAAGTTGTTCCAGCCATCTGGCTACTTGGCCTTCGGGATCCTTAAACTGAAGCAGCCATTTCAAAGCAGCGTGATCAGTTCTGATCAAAAATATCCGTCCCAGTAAATACTTCTTGAAATGGTGCAGGGTTTTGACTACGGCCAGCAATTCCCTCCTGGTCACGCAATAATTCCTCTCTGGCTTGGATAGTGACTTGCTGAAGTAAGCAATAACCTTCTCCTGCTCACCATCGCGTTGTGAAAGGACACCTCCTATTCCAATATTGCTGGCATCCGTATCAACTACGAATATTCCTTTCGCGCTGGGATATCCGAGAATTGGTGTGTTACAAAGCCGTTCTTTTAGTTCTCGAAAGGCTTGCTCACAATCCTCGTCCCAAACAAAGGCACGTTTCTCCTCTGTCAATCGATGCAATGGCTTGGCAATGTCCGAGAATCCTTTCACAAACCGCCGATAATACGAGCACAATCCAAGAAATGCCCGAACTTGCGTTTTGTCTTTAGGTGTTGGCCATTCCTTGACAGCGACAGTCTTGGCTGGATCAGTCTCAATTCCTCTCTCAGAAATAACATGTCCTAGATAATTCACTTCGCGCTTGAAGAAAGAGCATTTCTTTGGACTCAACTTTAAATTTGCTCCACGCAGCTTGTCGAGTACCTTTTCCAATTTCCTTAGATGATCGTCAAAATCCCGTCCAACAATGATGATGTCATCGAGGTAAACTAGGCAGGTTTCGCCCAGCAGACCCGCCAGCACCTGTTCCATCAAACGCTCAAAGGTTGCCGGTGCATTGCATAATCCAAATGGCATCACCTTAAATTGCCAGAGTCCCTTCCCAGTTGAGAATGCGGTCTTTTCCTTGTCCTTGGGATCCAAATCCACCTGCCAATAGCCGCTTTTCAGATCGAGCGTTGAAAACCATTTCATGCCACTCAGTGTGTCAAGTGTGTCATCGATTCTTGGTAACGGGTAGCTATCCTTCTTGGTTACATCATTCAATCGCCGATAGTCTACGCAAAACCTCGTTGAACCATCTTTCTTCTTGACAAGCACGACAGGTAGGTAGGCACCAAGGGCTAGAAGAGGGCTCTATCACGTAATTTTTCCTCATATCGTCAATCATTTGTTCAACCTCTTTCTCACGAGCGAATGGTATACGTCTGGGCCTTTGACGAATTGGCATTGTATCACCTGTGTTTATTTTATGCTTCACCAAACCAGTTCGGCCAATATCACCATCGCTTTTTGAAAACACATCAGAGAATCGAAGAAGTAAATTTCTAGCTTTCATAGTCTCCACTTTTGTCAGACTTTTGTTTTCGTCTAAGATTTTCGTTACAAAGTCTATTCCCGTACTGTCCTTCTTCACAAGATTCTCCGAGCATTTTCTTATCCAGGCCACTTCTTCCAATACGCCCACAAGCTCTCCTTCTTCAATCGTAATTTTTAAATCACTGAAGTTGAATACCGGAATGAGGTTGACATCAGATGACCCCACGACAGTTCTTGCCGGTAGCCATGAGTTTACGTGTTCCGATTTATCAATCACAGCGCACCTTCGAGGTAAACTTCCTTCCCTCCTCCTAGGTAATGCAATTGGTACCAGAGTCTGTGATTTTGGTGCAAGAACAGTTCTTCTTAAACAGCAAACTTTTCCTAGGGTTCCACCCTTCATCGGAATTTCCTCAGTTCCACATAGTAATACTCCAGATTTTAAGTCGATGTTACACTGGTGCCCTTGCAGGAAGTCAAGTCCCAGGATGCAGTCATCCAAAATTTTGGCCACAATAACCTCATGTCGATAAACACGTTCCCCAATTTTGATTGTTACGTGCAGTTTTCCACTTATCGGTATGCACTGGCCGGTAGCTGATTTCATCCGTAGGCCAACAATTGGTTTAAGGTGTTTCCTGATGTTTTGCCCGAGCAGCCGAACATTCATCACCGTCCTTGAAGCTCCAGTATCGAACGTTAGCTGACTGTTTTTCCCATTTACTTGACCGTCTATCACCAGAGTATTTCCATCGTTAGTTTGCTTGATGTAGATTGTTGGGGTTATTCCACTACCGGCCAGCGCCCACCCCGCAGCCCTGGCTGGATTTAGTTTTCCTGCTGGTCAGAAGTTGAGACCGCCGCGTCCTGGCGGTTCACCTTCTTCGGGCAGTCGCTCCGCATGTGCCCACGCTCTCCGCATTCATAGCATATGAAGTTCCGACGGCGTGGAGGTACCTGCTCCGTTGTCGTCATTTCCCGCAGACGTAAGGTACGGGAGTTACCACGCACGGCTTCCACTTCCAATGCATGGGCCAGAGCTTCTTTCATGTTCTTGTGATGGCCCAGATGAACAGCAGCTCGTACTTCGGGGTCCCGAACACCGTCAATGAATGCTTGGAGAAGCGTGCCTTCAATCATTGACGGAGTCGACCGGAAAGCTCGACGCACAAGTTTCTCGATTTCCACGGACCATTGCTGTAGACTCTCATTAGCACGCTGAGTACGCTCTTTTATTTGCGCTCTGTACACGTGTTCGAGGTGGCTGTCTCCAAAACGTGCCTCAAGTGCGTCGAGGAGGGCACTGAAGCTGAGATCCCCACTTGCGCCGATAGCTTCCAGCACCGAGAGCGCTTGATCACGGAGGGCCAGGAAGCACAGTCAGCCCTCGCTGACTGTGCTTCCTTCTGAGTCCAACCATAAGCCTCCATAAGTGTCTCAAACTGTAGCTTGAACGCGGTCCAGGATGTTGTTCCGTCGTAATGGGGAATCTTGAGCCCTTTCGTTGCGCTTGAGGCCACATTTGGGGCGTCAAAAACGGCTGCAAGACGGCTTCGGCTCTTCAAAGGGCTTGGGCTTGTCACTTCCTGCTTGATTTTGGAGATCTCTTCTTCCACTCTCTCCTCTATCGCCATGACGCGATGTTCCAACTTGCCTAACCCTTCCTCCACTTCTTGTACCCGTTCGACAGCCTTTTGCAGTCCCTTCGTGAAATCCTTGTGCATCTCTTCCAAGCGACGCGCTTGCTCCTCTTGGCGGCGAGCTTGATCCTCTTGGCGACGAGCTTGATCTTCTTTCAGCTCCCGTAGCTGTTCCGCCTGATAGCGTGCTTGCTCCGGAAGCTGTTCTGCCTGACAGCGTGCTTGCTCTTCTTGGCGGCGCGCTTGCTCTTCTTGGCGACGCGCTTGCTCTATCATCATTTGTTGCAGCTGTAGTAGAAGATCCACCTGGACAGGCTTGGCTTCTGCATCACTGGTTTGAGCTGCAGCACCCTCTTCCCTCACACGCTGCGCTTCTGACATTGCACGGGTACTCACTCCTCTTACGTCCTGCGGCACTAGCGGCATTTTTCACCAATCCCACTTCTGACACCAAATGTTACGTGCCTGACGTCACGTTCTTGACTGTGCGGGCTTGGGTTACGGGATTGGATGAAATGAAACACTAATACCGGTTTTCAGACTTTCTATTGCACTTAAGTTACAGCGTCCACGGAGTTAAGTTATCGGCGTTCCTCTCCAACAGAGTCCGGCCGACTGACACAACTTTGCCGTTCACGCTGACTTAACCCACTTAACTGACTGCACTTCACTATTTCACTCACTTCACTATTTCACTCACTTTTCTTCTTTTTCACTTCTTCCTTTTCTTCCGAATCGCTTTAGACTTAGAACTCAACTGCCAGCGGTGAGCCGCAGTTCCGCTTATATACCCCCGGTTCAGGTTCTGGAACATTCAATTTCGTTATTCTTTTTGATCGTCATGACTCCAGAACCTTCCAATAATTTCGTTACTCATTTTTATTTATTCTCCTTCTTGCTCTTTAATTTTTCATTTCTTTCACACAAATAATTCCAGAAAGTTCCACAAAACTTCTATCAACTAAAAAACTACATGTTTACGGCGGGACTCGAACTCGGGGTCTCTGTGGTGTAATCCACACGCCTTACCGATTACACCAACTCGTGTTGACAATTCACGACGAAATTTACAATCTCTAGACAACATTTGACAACCATCCATTGACGTCATGATGTCAAAGAGTTTGAACCACTTTTCCGTCACAATATTTTATGTAAAACAACATCCATTAAAATAGTGGAGAATTGTAGTATCAGCATTGACCCCGTCCGTAGCCGGGGCGGGTCGTTAGTTAATCTATACTATCTATCTATCTATAATCTATACTGAATTTATGATCTATACTTTAATATTATAAAGAGGTAAAATTTGTAAGTTTGTATGTAGGGGGTAATCTTTGGAACTGCTGGTCGGATTGCCAAAATTCTTTCACTGGTTCCTGAGTGCTACAGGCTATAAAACATCACGCTACGATCCAATTGAGCTGACCAGCGGATGAAACCGAACAAAAGTTGCTAACAGTACGAGTATATTTTAGGTGTCAGAGAGCCATGGTCTGGCTCGACCGAAGTCAGTCTCAGAAAACGGGCGTTAAACAGCATTTCGGTTTTTCATTGGTTACATTTTGGAGAATTTTCGGGGGAGCTGCACGACTTGATTCCCCCAAGTCCTTTTACACCATCAGACAATTGGCAAAACGTCAGTGATTCATGGCGGATATCAAACCCGCACGCGGTAAGCTGTTCACCTCCTCTTTATTATGAGAACCGCTAAGGTGTGGGATTTTTTGCCCGATTCTGGTCCTCGAAGGGTATAACCCGGGTGTCTTCGAAGCCCGAATGAAGAGGTAGCTTATGCGTGCTCTATCTTCGTTCACATCATCGAATACCTCCAGGCGTGATAATAACCAAAAGGATGCTAATTACAAAATAAAAAAAAACTCGGTCGGCGCCGATTGCTTACCGTCAGGTGACCCATAGCCTCGTTTGGCGCTCATCATCACTTAAAAAAGACATTACAGAACGATACGTCTAGTGCGCGCCTCAAAGTGGAGTCCTGCGGTCGGGGTGACGGCCGCAGTGGGTGACGGGGCCCGCCTTACCATCTGGCGGGCCAATACCCGTCGGGGGGTTGCGACGAATGCTTCGGCGATACCCGCCCCTCCGACACATGGGTAAGTGGAGGAACACCGGGTTGGTTTTTAGTCAGTAAGAGTCTGACAGTACCCTTCGCCCTTCCCCGAGGGCGATGGGTCTCCATGAGGATTTTCCAACCCGACACAAAAAAAAGAACGATACGTCTAGCTATCAGTCTATGATACTACATTGTAACAAACAAACGGATGGATAGCTAAGTCTTTGTATTAGGGTTTCCGTTATTAGAAAACCTTAGTGAATAGGATCCTGAAAAAATGAAAAGATAGATGTGTAGGTACCTATAACACTGCTGCCGCCATTTCTGTCGAGGTACTTGTACGCTAGCAGTTTCAGGAGTTATCATGTTCACTAGCTTACGTCGAAGCCACACGGCGTAGGCCTGTGGAACAGGGAATGGAATTTAGGGATGAAAGGTTTGGAAGAATACTTGAGACAGCCAGGAATTTTTTGTGTTAGCCTCATACTGACTTAAATGTGAGCAAGGTTACCGGTGCGTTGGCCCAATACTAGATTTTTTTTTGCCCGTAATATTTCTCCTGTACCGTGGATGCGTTTACAAACATGCAGTTTTACATAGACGTCACACCCAGACCCAGAACAACTATTTGTTGATCACACAAAGAGTTATTCCGAATCGAAGCCGCGACACGTTGCGCGGCAGCCAGTTGCCCAACTACCGCGCGAACCTTACAGCTAAAGTTTACGCGGTGCCTGGGAAACCGACTGCCTTGCCATTCCCGAACGGAATAACTCTTTGAGTGATACACAAATTGTTGAGGTCTGAGTGTGATTTGTTTGTAAACGCAATCAACAAGAGAAACCCTAGAAGGGTGAAAGATAAATAACAAATTCAAATGTAAACATTCAAACTCCTCACCTTAGGTTTCCACAGACTCCCTAACGTGTCCAAATTGACCCTTCCGTCCTCCGAATCAGCAGCGACCTCTACAGCCTGCACTAGCACTCGCACCCCGTCTTTACTAACTTTCCCATGCTCATACTGACGCCAATACGAGATCTTTAGAGCTTTTAGCACGCGCTGGTGGGCCTCCCTGGAGAAAAATGGCCATTTTTTGTATTCTTTGTATGGGAAAGCCATGCTTCAGTATGAATAGGCTGGCGCTTCTGGCGAGATATCAAGGCCTCACAGAAAATCTTCGTAAAACTTTTAAGTGTGGCAGAGCCATGCTTCGGCATGAATGGATCCGCTCGACCGGAGTGATTTTTTTGTGTAATAGGTCGGCAAACGAGCTGACGGATTACCTAATGGTAAGCAATCAGCGCCGCCCATGGTCACCCGCAACGGAGGAGTTACGAGTGCGTTGCCGACCAGTGATACCACTGCCTCACTAAAAACCGGCCTGAAACAACCACAGCGCTGTGTTTCACCGTCTGAATGAGATCACCGGAGATCCAATCCTTCCCTTTCCCCAATCCCTAAATCCCCAAAACCCTCTATCCACAAATTTCTAACGACCAAATCGGGTAATTATGCACTTGTAATCTGTCTGATGTTCAGATGTCCATAGGCAGCAGAAATGGCTAAAGTATTACTTTTTACTTATTTTATCACTCCAATCACAAATTCGCCAGACGCGTCATCTGTTATGTATACCAATGTATTCCCTCCTAGCCCTGCTTATCGATGGGAACAGGTAATTGTGTTTTTTAAGTTCAAAACTCAAATCTAAATCCGCTTAATTAAAGCGCCATCTACTGACGTGTTCTATTTACTAATAATTGCAAAAACTCTTTTGGCTATTACTTAGTCATTTCAATGAACTCCTTTTTAGTTGGTTCGTTAGGTATTTCTCTCTCGCAGTCAGGACATGTGGTATAATGGTAGCCCATGTAGGTGTCGTCTTCGCTATCCTCATCTCTGCCTGACATTTGAAGCTGGTACGGATGCTTTATTGTAGTGCCTGGTTGACACAGGAAAGGGTCATAAGGGATTAAAAAAACGATTAAACATTCTTGAACAGTAAGGTAGACCGTGAGACATACCAAGATTAAAAATAACGACTCACCTACGCACGTGAATCGGCAGTCAACAGCGCGACGTCGCGGCGAGTGAGTGAGGTTTCTGGAAACCAAATCCTTCCCCTACCCCAATCCCTAAATCTCCAACTCCCTAATCCCCAAAAGGAGGCAGCGCACTCCTCTGTCGTTGCAGGTGTCAACGGCGGTGCTGATTGCTTACCATCAGGTAATGTACGCTCGTTTGCCATCCTATTACGTAAAAAAACAATCTTTTAACATTTTATATGTTAATGGAATACCGACCAAGGGTAACCAGATCCCAGTTAGCATCAGCTAGGAATTTGTCCATCTTCAGCATAGAAATACATCGGTCCCTGGTCATCATGATCCTTTTGACACAATTCGTCATGTTAGCTTTCTTTGCAAGGGAGATCTCTGCTAAGCCGAGGATCTTCAGTACTTTCCTCATACTTGTGGCGTTGATAACCAGGGATAGGATAACTAGGCCTGCTGTTTGGATTATGAAGATCTGGAAGACGATAGGAAGGTGTGGATTACGTAATGTAGAGTGGAGTTCTAATGGTAGATTTTAAACTGGATTCCCAAAAAGAAGAAGGTCCTCAATTCGAGTGGGTATGTAATCTTAGAAATGTCTTTAGATTCCCCAGGAATGGTGGATGGTAAGACCCTCTTTATGGACAAATAAAAGGTGAACATTAGGCATTACATTTCATGAACCACCACCAGCCTACAGTGAAAAGAAAATCGTGAGGAAAGTTTTTTTGAAGAGAGGAAAATTATCCAATAACTTCTCCCAACCTAGATGGGGCGAGACATAAGGTCAATCTCTTCCTGAAAAAGAACTATTCCGCTCCCCAAATACCCATGGAGTTTCTTGCCCGTTCTCTCCTTATGAATTTACTTACACTTTGGAACGAGCAAATAACTTCACTACAGACGGTCAGACTGTCCCGCATGAAGTTCTTGATATTTTTGCTTGACTTTCAAAAGTGCCTGTGGTCTACTTGAAATATATGATTTGATTTGATTTGTTCCTTGTTCTGCTCCGCCAGGGCGACAATCCATTCTTTAGTTTAGACCCGCCAACAGCCCCAACTTTTTTAAATCGTTTCTTCTCCATGTGAAAAGAGGCAGAATTGCCCAGCAGTAGGACAGTTATAAGCTGATGATGATGACTTTTTCAAGAAAAAAGGACTGTTGCTTCATTGATGTATAAGTTAAAGCTTACCTCTCCAGCTTCAGATAGGACAGGAGTCTGCAACACGAGGAGTGCCAGACATAGGGACAGTGGTCCCCTAAGACCCCCCCACACGCAGGCCAGGCAGTGCTGCCATGTCATGCCATAACCCACGTGGCGAAGTAGAGGGGTCATCGCTGAGTATACCATCAACCTTTAGGGGTATGTGGTGTAAGTATTAGATGGTATCTTTCTATGTAATATTACTAGCTATTCTCGCGCGGTTTCACCCGCTGCTCAGCTCCATTTGATCGTAGCGTGATGTTTTATAGCCTATAGCACTCAAGAACATTGTAGCTATCTTTCTGTGAAAGAACTTTGGCAATACGATCAGCAGTTCCCCCTAGCCTACATACAAACTTACAAATTTTACCTTCTTATAATATTAGTAATATCTATCCTTTGGTGTTGCAGGTGTCCAAGGGTGGCGCTGATTGCTTACTATCAGGTAGTCTGTGTACTCGTTTTGTCTTCTCCCGCCTTAAGTAGGGCGAGACTCAGACCCTTCCTGATTAAAAACTACCCTCTTGCTTCTGGAGCCAGAAACTGCATTACTTAACTGCTAGCAACCGCAACCAAGGTTGGTGTCGTAAAAAATATTTTGTAGGTAGGTAATTGTAAAGAAATCTGAACACCAAAAAACTCACCTCGAACAATATACAGTGGTATACGTGACAAAAATCAAAGCCATTTGTCGCACACTGAGCACATCACTGACTCTTTCAAAGATAACCACTCCAACTATAGTGAACACTAAAGTATTGGCCGCATGAGCTAGTATACTCCAAAACGTGGAGAGCACTTGTTCCACATCCCCAGCAATAGTCGACTTCTTATTACTGACAAGAACACCGGTAATCACCGTTGCCAGAAGCCCAGACACATACAAGAACTTTTCGCCAATATAAAACGTCAAATACGAACCGGCCACAGTCACCGTCACCGCGCACAGAAGATCGTTATAAGTTATCGATAAAAGAGTATCGGTAATCTTTCCCAACACTATGCCTAACAGAATCCCGCCGCCTGCGTAGCGGATGAGGAATATAGTTATTTGGGAAGCCTCCGTCATGGCGTACGATATGTAGCCAAAAACTGCTGTGAACTCTATCATGACCGTCACATCCCCCAACAACCCTTCACCAAGGAGTAACACCCCTATGTACTTCCCTTTAGACATAGTCTTTAATTGCTTCACGACCTCTAAAGGGTATATGGGCGAGCATGTTATCCCGAAAAGGAATGCCGTAGCGAAGTCCCAAGACGATTCGATCAAATAAAATGCCATAAATGCGACCATGAGTGCGGTTAACAACGCTCCGGGTACGCCAACGAGTAAAATTTGCGGGATACTCTTTACGAACGAGTGGGCATCAACGCTGTACGAGGTCCGAAATATCATTACTGGTAGAAACCCTATAAGCAAAATGTTGACGTCCATAAAACAGATTTGGACGATGGGTTTAACGGAGGGGTATCTATTGGCACAATAACCAGCCAAACCTCCGAGGGAAAACATGACGACTCTGTACGGTATGCACATTCCTATGCGTAGCATTATGGCCCTCACGATCACTCCTGTTAGGAGGGTCAGGAAGATAAACAGGTACCCCAGTGAAATAGGATAGGCCAGTGTGGGGCGTCTAGGGTCACTTAAATAAATGGTTTCATCCGAAGTGTTGAAAATCTCCTCTGATGACACATTTAATTCCATTTGTCCGTATATCGTTTTGATTAGTAAAATAAATATTAAAGGAATCTTTTCGAACGACTTTTTGCCGTGGCTTTATAGATTTGGATCTTTGAGCAATGTTCATGTTTCAGTGTATACTTTTAGTCGATTTGAAATAGTTGATTTGTGATGATGATGATATGTTTTATAAATATATTCAGGAATCAGATCAAATTATGTACAGTGATTTCGTATGCAAGTACGAAAATAAACATTGAAACAATAGAGAAACCTTAACGATGTGGCTTCATTCAAAAACTATAAAATTTTGTGTAACCATAGCTACTGTCTCTGTTCTTATAGTCTATCCATTTAGATAATTATCTAAATGTAAACAATCTTGGCATAGGTATCGATTAACCCGTAGTATGCCGGAGCGCAGATATCCGCGAGACACGTGTTTTCTATTGTGTCTCATATACCGGCAGACTAGCGATTAATCTAAAAAAATGCATGTAAAAAGTTTTGCAATCAGGTATCGATGTTAGCTAATAAACAAAATTTAAATAATCTTTGTATGTATTTTATACGACCTCTTTAACATTTAAAAAGACATACAAAGATTGTATTCCTTTAGTTACCCACCTAAACCGATAGACCATAGTCAATCCTTATTTTTTACCTAAGTACAACTAAAAAACTAGAATCTGTACACTATTTTTCTGAACACTAAAAGTTCCTTAAAGGTCATAGAAAAAGTAAAAAAAGGATCAATAAGCAAGCAATAAAAATAAATCAATTCCGAATCAAATTTATAATTACGAAAACGAAACTTAAAAATAAAAATACACAATACAAAAAACAAACTAAAATGTCATTCCATTATTAAAACTAAAAAAATCGGAGTCAATATAAATTACAAATAAAAAAAAAACACATAGACATAAAAAATACAATGGTCAGAATCAATCTAGTCTTGTCGATTTCTTTATAACATTTTCAACTTTATCGCTTGGGTGTAAAGTCGAAAATCCAATGTGAAATGACAGTATAGGTTGACTTGCTAGCAACTTTACCTATAATATTTTTAAATCATAGTTCTAATGGGAATAATAGTCTTACGCCGCCAGTTTTAACAGGACTTTTGTAGGGGGCGAACTTTTGTGGAGTCTTTCTAGGAGATTTTCTGGGGGTCACATTTTTCCTTTCAATTTTCTCTAGTTCTTTTAACTCTATATACGCTGTCTCCAACATACGTTTCTTCCAGTCTTCGTAAGACTCTATTTTCTCTTCCAAAACCTCATCTACTTTAGGTACATCGACCTCCATTAATTCTTCAGTTTCAACTGAAAATACGCAAAAAAATACATTTAAAAAACCATTTTTTGGGATATTTCAGACATTTTGATGATAAAGTGTCATATAATTAATGGTTTTGCAAAATAATAAGTGCATATAAATTGTAAAAAAGATATGTGACAGCGGTGGGATTCGAACCCACGCCCTTTCGGACTGGTGCCTAAAACCAGCGCCTTAGACCACTCGGCCACGCTGCCTACATGTAAATAGGTTGAAATTAGCGACTGCTTATTATGAAAAGAATAAATTATTACATTTTACCTCCCTTAAAAGGGTTGGCAGATGAAACATTAAAATATTAATTTTACCTAAAATATACTTAATTATTCTTATCTTTATAGTTTCAGTTTCATAACAATAAACTTATCCAGAATTGTATTATCCCTAAGGAAAACTAGAAAACTTCCAGGCGCCAGGTTGTGAAGGAGCACCACAGGGCACGTGTGCTCATAGATGGCGCAAGATTCGGAAACCAGTAGCAGAAGAAGATCTTTAGAAGAGAAAATATATTGAGGACCGCCTATTGAGGTGCTCCTCTAGAGCGATCACCAGGTATAGTCCATCTTCTGGACCCTCTGTCATCTCACGCATAAGGATACGAGTTCAAAACTTTTCAAGTATGTAGGTACCAATGTGACTTTTTCGGAGTTATAGTTGGAGTTGTACCAATGTGATATTATCGGGTTTATTTAAAAACCACTGACAAACAGTGAACACAGAAAACTTTTTTTGTTCGTTTTTTGTTTTTTGTGAGGGGAAAATTATCCAATGACTTCTGCGGCCCAGGGTGGAGCGGGAGCGAGTGTCAGACTCTTACTAACTATAAAACCCCCCGTTCCTTCTCCTGCTCCGGGCCGAGGCCGAGGCGACTCATTGCGCTTATCCAAGCAACCCCGGCTTGTGACAAAACCTTGACTTATAATTTCTAATTATAATTTTGAATACGCCTTGATTAAGCGTGGTGGTTAATGCAGCAGTGGGCACTTATAGGCTGATGACGATGACGATTTATAAATGCTAGGGATTTACTACATACCATTTTCCGCAGTTTTCTTAGTTTGTCGACCCTTCTTTTTGTCGGCGGCGAAGTGGAGGTCAGTGAACTTTGTCCAGTCGGCGTCCAACTTGGTCCACTGTGTAGGCTTCAGTCTTGATTTCTCTATTATTCTACTTTTAGCTACTTTCACTTTGTTTAGCCTGGAAATGTTTAGGGAGGAATTAATTAATGTTTCCAAAAGTAGAAATCTTCATAATGGATGAAGTAGGTGCTTTTTTGATGATACTACTAAGGCAACAAGCAGATTGGGCGGCGCTAAAATCTTACCATCAGGTGATCGGTAAGATTTTAGCGCCTCCCATGGACATGCAATTGCAAGGGCATTACTAGTTCCCGGTTTTTATTAACGTATGATGGCGGATATTGGGTATCTCGTAACGGGTCAAATACAAAAGAGACTGAAATTGTAATGACGCAAAATCACACGCAATTTTTTTTTTTGTATTTTTTTTTTTTTGGGGCAGAAATACGTTATCCTTCCAAATTGCAACTGCGTCTAGGCTATAGCGTCGAAAGCACACACACAGCACAGCCTAGTAACCCATACAGATGGACGACAGCGAAGTCTTAGTACAATTGCTCTGACCTATTTGAAACTTTTTGGGTATATTGTCCTGTACCACAAAACGATTAAACAAAAAATTTCCTCTCACCTGCAAGCCTGATAGACAGCCATACAGACGTATTGTGGTAAATTCAGGTCCACCTCCTGAAAACATTGTTATACAAAGTATTAGTAGTTGTACACGTATAAATAAATAAAGCAAGAAAAAACCTATTTGTATTTTTCAAATTTTAAAGTGAATTATTCTTTTAATTTTTGCATTTATGCAATTGAGTACTTAAACATATGAGCAATATACGTCGGATGCCAAGACCTCCGTTTCTGCATCTCGTCCTAAAGTGGTTAAATTACTAAAGAACCACATCGTTTCTTCAAAGTCTCCAAGCTGGGGTTGCCGTACATCACTACGCTTGACCCGCGACCCCATGGCAAGAAGTCCAAGGGTGAAATACTCAGCACTAATATATATATTTGATAATAATAATGATGATTTCGATAGTTATGATATCCACCAGTTCATAGCAACCCATATGTTGCCTATCAATTTTTACCACATTCTACAATAGTCCTGCATACAGGAATAATAGGGATGATGACTAAAAAATAATAATTAGTCAATTTTTTAGAACGCCAGAAAATAGTAGATACGTATTTTTTCTTTTGCTTCTAAAACTTAAAATAACAAAGTTACAGAGCGGCGAAAGTTCGCGCTACGTCATTATTTCGTAATTTTTTTACGACATGACGTCACGAGCCCCTACTCCTGAATTTGAATGTGCTGTATTTTTGTCAATATTATTCGTATGGACAAATAAAAAAATACGTATCGAGTATTTTTCTATAATTTAACTGACGGACTAATTAGAATCTTGTTGTTTTAACTTTCATTTCACTTATATTAAAGTTGTTCAAAGGGCCTCTGTGAGTTGGCTTCGGCCCCTCGTACGCCTTCCAAAAGTCCGGGACCCTGTGGTCCCGTGAATCGAATAGAACATACAAAATGATGATGTAAAGAGAAAATAAATAAAGACAAATGTATATTCACCACTTTAGCTTGCTGCTGGTATTCTGCAAGTATTCTGTCGGCGAGTTCCTGTACTCCAGTGCACTGCAGCGTCAGACACAGCATGTTGGTACTCAGTCTATCACTGTTCAGTTCTAGAAGATTCTGTACAACTTTCTTAGTGTTATTGTAAGTTGAGGTTTTTAGTCCCGAGTATTTCACTGCTGATTTCTGTAAGGATAGAGTTGGAATGTGATTAACTTGCTTTGTAGTTAAATAGTAGTTGTTAGTGGAGATGGAGATTAGTACGATGAACTACACTTCATTTTGAAATTTTTATCATTTTTTTTTATCTAATTAAATAGCAAGAGTTCAAGTTAAAACTCAATTTTTTTATATTTATAATTACATTATATTACAAATAATAAATGATTTCATATGTCTATCCAAAATATCTTAGTCCAGCCATTCATAAAAATATCAAATTGTAATTGACTATAAGTTATAAGTCGGCAAACGAGCGGACGGATTACCTGATAGTAAGCAATCGGCGCCGCCCATGGACACCCGCAACACTAAATGAAGTATGACTAGTCATAATACAACAATTTGTGGATCACACAAATAGTTGTTCCGTGCGGGAATCAAACCCGTGACACCTTGAGCGGCATCCAGTTGCCCAGCCACCATGCCAAACGTGCAGTGCAACAATAAATTAACAACTTACAATATCTAAGTCTGCTCCCAGAACACTTGCAGCCAGGTCCAAACAGATAACAATTTTACTGGTATCAGTTATATTGCTTCCCGCTATATTCTTTGTTTGTAGCAGCCTCTCAAACTCTGCAGCTTTTCTGTAATCATAAACAAATCAATGTTAGAAAATGAAAATTGCTGAATATTCATACTAAGATACTGTTTTAGCATCTCCATATATGTAACAAATAAACTTAAGTGCCACATCCTACTAGTTGTAATCTTGATAATATTATAAACGTAAATGTTTTAAGTATATTAAATACAAATAAGAATCTACATAAAGATAGATTAGTCTGAAAAAGTACATAACCTATATATTTAACTACTCAACAGCTGTGAGTGAAGCAGCCGGTAGTTAAAAAGAAATTTGTTCTATTCAGTATATGGTGCCAAAATTTTTCTATACATATAGAAAAAAATTATCCCTTTTTACCATATTCAAATTTATTAGTATATCACAACTATTCAGTCATTGTAAAAAAGGTGCTTAATATTATTAATGAAAAAGTTAATAAATAGATAGTCTGTTTATCTTTTATCTTTCTGTAATGTTGAGTGCTCCATATGGCATAACATTAGTGACTAGAGACATGAAGGTACAATGTTATGCCTTATAATTTTTGTTTTTGACCACTGATTGTTACATGTAAATTAAAGTACAAATTCTTACTTTACCAAATTGGTAAGATAACTGTTGAAAAGTAAACATTACTAGAATAGTGTAACTTTGCCTAGCTTTTGGAAATTTAGAATGGATGAGTTTATTGTGTTCTTTGATATAAAATCATACAAAACTTTTTGAAGTGTAAAGATGCACGAAAGTTATAATGACAGCATTGAACACAACAGCTCACGTAGTCGGCCACCCTTGCTTAGTCAAGAACTGTTTACACATCTTAGTGAGTCTGTTATTTATGTTTGTTTACTAAGAAAGTACAGCGAAAAATAACCTAAAATGTAACTTTACATATCTATACTTTATATTAGTGTTTTATACATTTAAGGAAGGCTTTCAATAACACCTAATCAAAGTAATTAAGGTACAAGTCTATTATTTTACTAAGAGTTTTATTTTCAATCGTTGTGTTTTTGTTAACTTACTTTAAAACTTTATCTTCTTCACCCAAACCCAGTTTGGTTGCAATCAGGTACAATGTTTTATTATTAGATGCCATTGTTTTTAATTATTTCATACACTTTAACTTAAATTTTACTGTAAACGTCTGAAAACAATTAAAATTTACAATAAAATTCAGGACTCATCAAAGCGCGCCATTTGAATGCCTTTTGACGTTTCACAAGATCCAATCCGGTAAATCCATTCAGTCAGCTGTCATTGTCAGATGATTAAATTCATTCAAGGTCATTCATTCCTCCGTAACATAGACAAGAGAGGAGGGAGAGGAAAAGTCATAGTGATGTAGTGTGAAAATTCATGAAATAAATAAATTGTGCCCCTCTAAGGCCTCTCTTCGTAATGTGACCACAAATGAACATAAAAAGACTTAATCTTCGTGTCGCATAAAATCAAATTATTAAATAATGAAATATATTCAGTAAACAAGGTTAATTTTTCTGGGAAAACTCAGATTTTTTAATGAAACCCAAAATAATAAAGCGGTATTTAGTCGACTAAAACTTAATTAACTCTTCAATCCCAACTAATTTGAGTGTGATTCTTTCTCCGAAGTATTTTTCTGTATGAAAATATGATTTTAAATACATTTCGTAGCTCAAAACATTGAAAATACATTTTTTTCAGAAATATGTACGATATGACATTGTTTATCTCTGTCGTTCATGGTCGGAAAATCTTCTCGATTCTCGATGACCACGCCCCTTTATCTCGATTTTGACTGAAGTTTCAATGATAAAACACCTTGCAATATCACAGGAGGCGACATGTTGATTTTTTTCTATAGGTTCTGTGAAGCCGATACGGATCGCTGTCATTGCTACAAAATGTCTTTGTAGTTATCAGGGTGTAGGTCATATAATTGTAGTAATATTAACTAATCCGTGCTAATTTTCATATGTTAAACGTATCGTAAAGAGAAAGAAGAGGATCCACTCCGCCCGAATCAGGGGTGTGTATTGAGTGATACATCGATATAGATTTGTATCAAAATAATCCGAAGCTATTTATAAATATTATTTTCTCAGCTTTTACTTATGTTCAAACGTTAATAGTAACGTCTGATCTATAATTAACTTGTGAAAGTTTATAAATATTACAGTATTCCATGGTGAAGTAGTGAGGCGACGCGGTTATTAGTGGCAAAGGTTGCCATTTTTTTAGTGGGATATAATCGTGTGTGGTGATATCAGGGCGTGATCTCAGTGCTCATAGTTGCTTTGAGTCGGAGTCGGGGGCAGTGTGAGTGCACGGCCGCAGTGTTCTTGTGCCCGCGCGACCTGCGAGCTTGATACGAGACTAAGGTAGTGTGCTGTGGTGGTTTTACAGGTTGAGATGCAACTAGTGTCAGTGAGCTCGAGGTAATAGCAGTGCGTGTTGTGGTCGTGGTGACGTGATGATGCGGTCGCAGTGAGGGGGCAGAGCGACACCACGGCTTCGTCAGTGGCGGGCGGCGCGCGGGGAGCAGAGTCTCCTTCGCAGCCCAACCAAGACACGGTGGACAACGCCACACCCACCTGCTGGTGAGTCTGAATACCCTGTACTAGCACCAAAAAGTTCTGCTTCCAAAGAGTCTTGATGCTCATTCACATACCTTGGCAGTCAAGTGAGCTGTGCTCTTGTACAGCTTCAAATGTCATATACCTAGTAGACAACAGCACAACAAAAAGATAGTTTGGGAAATTGTTACTATTATTTAATTACCTAATTTTATAATAACATTTTCCAAAAAAACAGTATTTTTTCTGTATGAATATGGCTTATCAAGTTAATATTAATTATCTATTTAAACTGTCTTGGAAACATTACAATACTCTTGACTCATTCCTACTCTTCCCTAATTGTTAGCATTGTGTTTTCCTCATGAATCTCATCTATTTAGGTTAGTGGTAAAACCAATTAGAGTACTTTAAGTGGCTGTATTATGATTTCATAACCTTTACATTGACAATGAATAGTAATTATAAAATTGTCCTTAGATTAAATTGATTACCATGAATGTCAAACAAAATTGTTAGTTCAGTCAGTTACGAATGGACAAAATCTCTGGCCGGTTTTATTTATCTTTATCATAAATTTTCTGATAAAAAAAAGTTTAAATCAGTGTTCCTTTTTCAAATCCTTAATTTTATTGCAATAATATTATTGTAGCTCATCAAAATTAAGTTACATTTAAAAGTACTTCATTAAAATTCCAAATTCAAATGTGATTTATGATTAACTATAATTTTTATGAAGCAGTTACCAAATTAAAACTTATTGAATATTCAAAGTAAGCATTAATCAATTTATATATGTGTATTGAAATAAATAAACAAAGCTGCTTCATTTTATTTTTCAAAATGATAATTCTTATTTCAATAATAGCATTAATTTACAATTTTAATTTTGTTTTATCTAATTTGCATAACTTTTGTGAATTTAACTAGGTTTAATATTATTATCAAAATTAGTTTATAATTCAGTTTCATATACATATATTATATAGATAATTGTCATAAGTGTAATAATTCATACATTGGCGTCTTGCTTAAATATATACATCAATATATTATATTGTCACCACTTTCAAATCTTGACCTAGGTTGTAAGGATGACAGCTAATCTTAGGCCTGACAGTTCACAAAAATTATATTCTAAATTCAAATAGATTTAGTTAGTAGTAGTGTAGTTCTCTATAGATTTAGTTACTGGTGACTAGTAGAACCATTTATTCCAAAAATATTTTTTATCTGTCTCCATTAAGGTCTCAAATAATAGAATTGTGCTATGCTCTCACCATTAGTCTACCCTCAGCGCTGACATAGGGCAGAAGCAATCTCTAATAAACCTCAACTTTTTTATTACTATAGACAATCTGCATGTCAAATTATTGTGAAAATCATTATAAGCTATAATGATACTGAAAAAAGTCAATACCAGACATAGAATTTTAGGATGAACTTCCATATGTCTAAATTTTATTTCCTAAAATGCCTAAAATTATTATGATACAAACTTTACTACTTATTTTACAAATCCTCTACTAGATATAATTAACTGTCTTAAATCATAGGAATTTGCGTATCAAAAAAAAAAACTAACAGGTTTTTCAAATTGATACAATAGATATTAATTGTATATGCAAAAATTTGTGTATAGCTACTAAACACCTACTACCTAATTATTTTAGGAATTTAATGTTTGAGGAAAAACATATTTTAATTGGGAATATCCTTATTAACCAAATCAAATTATTTAAGTAGTTTGACATCCTATTTACCAGTTAAAGACAGCCCAAATCCAAGGTTCCACATTATGGACAATAACAAGTTTATTTGATAAAAAAAAATTGAGATTGTATTGCATTATACAAAAAAAAGAAAAAAATACTATGGTGCCTATTACACCATTTTATTTAGTCTATTTTAGACATTTGAAAAAAGAATATGCTGTAATAATGTTTCATTTGTTTGAATATGGAACTTGGATTTTTTTTAAATCTTTTCTAAACTTTATGTTTTAAAAGTTATTTTTATAACTAAAAAAAGATCCCGACAAATTGAGAACCTCCTCCTTTTTTTGAAGTCGGTTAACAATATATTTTTTTGTAAGAAATTTATGTATAGGTTAGTAGGCACTGAATTTTCTTCCAAGAATTATGTCTATGATAAAGACAATTGTTTTTGTTTTTTAACATTGATTAGTAAACAATGGAGTACTAATGTTGACATATAAAGCATAATATAACCACAAAAGGCTATGATGGGTAACATAGTGTGGCTCTATGACGTACAGTGACGTATGCCGGCGATAGTCCTATGACTAACAACTTTTAACTTCTAAGTAGGTACCTACTGATAAGGCGTTAGTAGCTCCTATTCAAAACTTAGGGAAGTTGAAAGGGCATTAAATCTTTATGACACTCAGGAATTTTATATGTCTAGATACTTGTTGTTTGGATGGTTTTAAATTTAAACCTTGCTTTTGTTAGATTAAGGTTGCTTTTTATAACAAAAAAACAGTCGATTTTTGTTTTTCTCCTATACAATGTCAATATTTTTCAGAAACCCAATAAATAAATCTATGTAATGTTCGTTATACATTTTCAAATTATAAAATGGAGTGGGTTATTGTCCCGAAGACATTACCAATACATATGATTATAGACTTTGCTACACAAATATTTTCAATTTTGTTAAGATGAAACACAATAGAAAGACAACCTATGCGCGAACGCCGGCGATCGCTTGGGTTTGATGAATGAATCCCTAAAACTTGGTAGGCAGAAATTTTAGATCAACAGAATACCAGCTTTTCATTGCATTTTTCTTTAGTAGTTAGTAAAAAGAGCGACCCTCTTTTTTGTTTTATTTAGCACTCCATTTATTACATAACAGTGTTATAAATTACTTGTATACATATATATATATATATAACATGGTGGGTGTATATCAGCTGTGTGTCCTCCCACACATTCATGGACATTTATAAAAATAATTTTATATATTTTGGTGTCATTATCACTTGTTTTTGAGTAAATATCTTTGTGATCAATTGGATATTGGGAACATTTTTGATTCCATCCATTTGATTCCGTCCATTTTTTTTCATGGAAATTGTAATACTTAATGCTTATTGAACTTTTGGCTCAATTTTATGACCGTTTTTTTTTATTCAGATAAGTGTTAAAACTCTTATAATCTGTATGTTACTGTCTACTTTTAGACTTAGCCCTCTTAAATGTTAGCTTTTTTTTGTGAGGGAAAAATCATCAAATGTCATCTCCCGCCCAGGGAAAGGCGAGAGAGAGTTTCAGACTCTTACTGACTAAAAAGGTCCCCGTTCTACTCTTGCTTTAGGCCGATGTCGCGGTGTCACATTGTGCTTACCCCGCAACCCCGGCTGAACATCAGTCCTGTAGGGCCCCGTCTGTGGTGGTCTATTGGCTCCTTAAGACGCGCGCGGAACTGGTCGGTTCTGGTCGGGCGGCGAGCTACCCTTACTCGCCGTCCACAACCCGCGCTTACGGTGGCCGGAGATCATCTCTCGTCTTAAATGTTAGCTGGGGTTGCATGTGCATGTTTAATAGCTTGACACAATCCCGGCCCAAAGCTGGAAAATCCTCCTATCCTTAAATCCTTAATAATCCACAAAAGGCCGGCAACGCACTTTAGTTATTCCTTTGGTACTAAGGCCTCGTTTACGTTTAAGCGGCGCGTTGTGCGGTGCGATGTGCGGTTCGTCATACATTGCTTGTGATGTTCATATGTTTGTGTTTGCACGGCCGTTGACACGACTTGATGCTGTAATGTACGACAAACGAAATACGCGCGGCGCAACGCCCCGCGTGTACGTAAACAAGACCTAAGAGTGTCAATGGGCGGCGCTGATTGCTTCATCATCATCAGCCTATAAGTGCCCACTGCTGAGCAAAGGCCTCTTCTCACACGAGAGCATTAATAACCACGCTTGCTCAATACGGGTCGGCGATTTCAAACTTATAATTAGAAATTATAAGTCCAGGTTTCCTCACGATGTTTACATTCACCGTATGTCGGTGGTGTCTAAATAATCATAGAAAGTACATATAACTCGGAAAAAGTCACATTGGTACTTACCAGGTTTTGAACCCACACCCTCATGTTTGAGAAGCGGGCGCCTTAACCTCCGGGCACCACCACATCTGATAACTTACCATCAGGTAATCCGTCTGCTCTTTTGCCCACCTATGACACAAAAAAAGAACAACAATTGGTGTACAAAAAGTTTTAATATCTTAAAACTTTTTGCTCAATAATGGCATTGATACCTATCTACTTGACTAACAAACCATTTGGAAAATGAGGTACCTAATTACCTATCCAAATTTCCCCAAAATGGGCCTCCCCGTCGGAAAACAAGGGAACACACTCAGATATGAAATCTATTCCATCAGATAATAGCTTTTAGATTGATAATATCAATGCAACAACTTAAAAAGTCCATAGTTGCTAATGTTTGTTCTAGTTATAGGTAATCTCTGTTTTATTTAGGTATTCGTCCTTACATGTAATTTGAACCTTATGGTTAAAGCTATAAGAGTGATTGCATCAGTAATGCATGAGTCGTATAAAGTTACTAATAACTTACAGACGTTATGAAAATGCTTGAATCACTAACAGCTATACTTAGAGTAATTTAATGAATTTTTAAAGGTATCCTGACATCCTTCATCCCTCATCCCGAAAATGTTTTCTAAGGACTATTATATGTATGTATAGCTTTATTAGGTATATAACTATAGAAACGTTTATTTCAACACTGTTTTTGTAATACTTGCTTAATAACAGGTAATACGTTAGCTGGTTTGCCGACATATACCATAAAATAAACTAAATTTTGCAACTAATTTCATTTTATATCACGTACATATAGTCAACTAGCTTCCGCCCGCGGCTTTGTCCGCGTAGTATGTTGATAAAAAGTAGTCTTATGTCCTATTCCGGAGTGTATCCTATTCCTGTGCCAAATTTCGTCCAGTTCGATCCAGCCGTTTTGGAGT